GGATGGATGAAGGTGGATGGATGATGGAAGGATGAAGGATGAATGGATGATGGAAGAATGGATGGATGGATGGATGGATGAAGGATGGATGGATGGATGGATGGATGAAGGATGGATGGATGATGGAAGGATGAAGGATGAATGGATGATGGATGGATGGATGGATGGATGGATGATGGAAGGATGGATGAAGGATGGATGGATGGATGGATGGATGATGGATGATGGAAGGATGGATGAAGGATGGATGGATGGATGGATGAAGGATGGATGGATGATGGAAGGATGAAGGATGAATGGATGATGGAAGGATGGATGGATGGATGGATGAAGGATGGATGGATGGATGGATGGATGGATGGATGATGGATGGATGGATGGATGAAGGATGATGGATGGATGATGGATGATGGAAGGATGGATGATGGAAGGATGGATGAAGGATGGATGATGGATGGATGGATGATGGAAGGATGAAGGATGAATGGATGAAGGATGAATGGATGATGGAAGGATGGATGGATGGATGGATGAAGGATGGATGGATGATTGATGATCATGTGACCTCAGCTTATTGACTCAGCTGCTGATTTCTTGTTTTCTCTCCTTGTTTGTTTAGAGATTTCCTGCTGATCTTGTTTTCAACCTGAAGGTGATAAAACTCTGGGGGTCCATCAGTCTGACCCGGCATCTGGAACAGAACCAGAACCAGGACCAGGACCAGAACCAGAACCAGGACCAGGACCAGAATCAGAACCAGGACCAGGACCAGGACCAGAAGAGCTTAGCAGTGTCCTGGGTTTATAGAGAAGTTATCAGTAAAGAGCCTTGGGTGCAGACCGGCTGTTTGGACTGACTGCAGTCAGAATGTTGTGTCTGGTTCTGGTGGTTCACCTTGAACTGGGTCAGAACCACCCTGACAGCCCCGCCAGTGTGTTAGAGGTCAGGCTGTGGGCTCAGTCACATTCAAGTCAGAAATCTGAACGGACCTTTCCAGAACTTTATTATTCTGGCCAGTCAGAGACCTGGACCTGCAGCGGAAAGTCCTGAACCCGCCTGCCTGAATGTTTCTGGACTGGGCAGAACCCGTTCCCCCAAAACCCAGAACTAAACAGCCATACGGACCCAACCATCTGCACCGACCAGAACCTAGTGATCAACAAGACAAAGGGCAAAGGTCATATGACCACTTTAGGTGGATCAATTCTGCAGTTTAGATCGGGTCAGAGTCCAGACCCGGTTCAGTTCTACCAGATCCCGGTTCAAGTGTGACAGTGTGAAGGCGTCTTGCTGTTCTTCATCTCACCAGCTAAACCATCTTCCATGGAGAAGTTTCTCTGGAGAACATCTGTCCCAAAGGTTCTGGATCCGGCCGGACACAGAGCCGGACTCTGGGTTCAGCCCCAGCGATCCGGTCCGGACCCGGTCCGGCTTCTCTGGACAGATATGGACCTGTAGGGTCCAGAGACAGAACCGCTGAGGACAGATGTGATCACCGGAGGAGGGGGGCATCAGGCCACATGTTTGAACTGACCTCTGACCCCTCCCCCACAGGGAGACCGAGCTGTGGGGGAGGTTAGGGGGGGGGGTCAGAGCAACAGAACCTGAACCAGAACCCTGCAGAGATAACAGTACAGAACCAACAGAACCAACAGAACCAGAACCACGACCCGTTCACAGTCAGACCCCCCCCCCCCCACACACACACACGATCATCAGTTAATCTGATCCAAACTTTTACATTTTAAAACATCCAAGTTTCAAACTTCAGCTCCAGACTAAAACCTTCCCAGAAAGTTCTGCAGAACCAGAATAATCTGTTGGACCCAACAGAACCCCATGAAACCCAATAGAAACATGAAGGTAAAAGTTCTGACCTTTCTGCTGAGCAACACTTTGCTCCACCATCAGAACCACCAGAACCAGCAGCAGCAGCTTCATCTCCTCTCAGGAACCAGAGAGTCCAGCCAGAGCAGAACCAGGATCGGACCAGAACCTCAGAACCTCAGAGCGGCTGTGACTCAAACTGAGCTGTTAACTGGGAGAGAGGAAGCAGCCCAGAGGAATGTGGAGCTGACCCCCCCCCATCCATCCATTCATTCAGTCCAATGGAGGGAGGGGGGGGGGGGGGGGGTTACCATCCAATCAGACTGAGAGGGGGGGGGGGGGGGGGTGTTGCTTAGACTCTTGCTGGTGGATCACGTGCTCCTCCAGCAGAGGGCGCCGCTTGCTCAGAGTCTCTATTCTGATCCTGGTTCTGCAGAACTTCATCCCCTCTGACCATCAGAACCTCGAGTCCAAACGGGTCAGGAGGTCAGCAGAACATGGAGACCAGAACCTCTCTGGGTGAGGAAGGAAAGGGTGTAAAACCGGATCAGAACCGGTTCTGTCATGGTTCTGACCATCTTAACACCAAAGGTCCAAACTGAAAACGGTTCCTTCCTCCAACTAGTGAGGGCTCTGATCAAACCGGGCCTCAGGTAGAACCGGACTCAGAGGACGACCTGGTTAGGTTTATATGACCCGCCAACGGTTCTGTGACCCAGAAACGGTTCTGTGACCCGGTAACGGTTCTGAGATGGAAATCTCCAACCAACCTGTAAAACATTCAGAACCAGAACCAAAAGAAGGATTCAGGTCAGCTGTCCTACAGGATTGTGTTCCTGGCTTCATTTGGACCCGAACCGGGTCACAAGTCCTGGTTCTGTTTATCCCCAGGCATAGAGGAGTCAGTGAGAAATAATCCGGGTCAGAATCAAAATAATGTTTCTCGTTGAAAACAAGGCACCATAGAACGGGCCCACCCAGAACCGCCCACTGGGAACAGTTGGTGACCCATTCCCTTGGTTCTGATGAGGCTGTGACCCGGTTGGGTCAGACTAGGTACAGGTATCCTGTTCCTGATCCCATTTTCCTCCTTAACTGATCAGTCAGAACCAGTTAGAACCAGTCAGAACCTGTCGGATGGGTCCAGCTGAGGATGCAGAATATTCCAGACCTTCAGGTCCAGAAAAATGAGACCCAGTTAGTTCTACTGGGAGAACTTTGGTTCTGGTTGAAAGGATTAGAGTTCATCAGCACCTTCATGTAGAGGAGAGAGGCGGGCCGTACCGGACCGGACCGGGCCAGGCCGGACTGGACCGGACCATTCAAGACATAAACCTTGAATGGTCCGGTTTTACTGAAACTTAATTCTTAAAAGTATATATATATATATATATATATACATACATATACGTATATATATGTATATTTTTACTTTCTGAAATTCAGTTTGTGCTGCACAAAATGTAATTTAGAAAATGTTATTACAGTTCAGTCTAGGACTGATTTTAATCAGGAGGATTTATTTTATTGATCTACAAATGGAACAACAGAGAGTGCTTTGAATAAATGTGAATACTGCCTGCCATATCCCACTTCATATAGACTTTCAATCTTCCTTTCCTTTGCAGCCATTTCTGTCTTTTAAACATTTTTTTTTTTCATTTAATCTCTAGTTCCAATGGTGTTAAACAGTCACTTCCTGTTTCCTGTTGTCATGGTGACTCGTCAATTCAAGGCTCCGCTGATGATGGCGTTTCATACCGTCTCTTAACTCTGAGTAGATCTACTTAGAGCTGATTGAACTGATTGATCGCAGCTTTTAGGAAACTGAAAACTCAGACTTTAATCTAGATTAATTTAGAGTCACGGATTTAAATCTGACTTTGTTAAACCTTCCTGATGTTCCTGATGGGAAGCAGAGTAAAGATGGTGGAACGTCTGAGGCCTCCTGATTAAAGCTTTATTTCTCTATTTCTAGAAGTTTTTCTAGAAGAACCAGCAGGAAAAACACAGAAATATTGAACAGAAAAAACTGCAGATTCTGCTGATTAGTTTAAAACCATTAAAGTTGGGATTTAATTTCAATCGTTGCTTAAAAAGTTCAGAACCAAATAAAGAGTCCAGATGGGAGATGTTTCCAAAAGCTTTTTATTTCCCTCAGACTCCACTTCCTGTTTCCAGGTTAAAACCTCTGAGCAGCAGCCTGGCCTCCAAACACCTCCCCCATGTGAGAGACCAGTAAGGAGACCAGTAGCAGGCTCTGCTGTGGGAGAGGAACCCCTGCAGACATCTGCTCAGCTTCTCCATGATTCTTCCTGAGCTGCTCTATAAATTAATTGGTTAATTAGTTGTTAGTAAAAAACTAAAGAAAGAAAAGATCCAGATCAGTCCGTCTCCATGGCGATCTCTCTCTCTCTAGGGAGAACTGATCTGGTTCTGCCCCCCCCTCCCTGTCTCCATCCAGGCCTGATGCTGGAGAACGAGCGGACCTTTAGCCCCTCCTCCCTCAGAGCTTGGCCTTGGCCTGGAAGAAGCTCATGACGGCGTTGAAGCACTCCTCTGACATCCAGCGCTCCATCAGGCGCTCCACCTCGGCGTCGTTGACGGCGTAGAGGCGCTGCTTCTCCACGGAGCGGATCAGCTGTTTGGACAGAGCCAGGGACTGATGGAGACACGGACAGATTAACCCTTAAAGTCACGTCATCATTTCAAACGTTAGCAAAAAGGATCCAAAGTTTGTGCAAAGGGACTGAGAGGGAGCTGTAACACCCAGAGCGGCCACCAGAGGGACAGATCGGATTAAATCAACGCCGAGATTCATCTGATGGGATCAGAGGGACGAGCTGAACTTTCAGACGCTGAATGTTTCAATCAGCCATGTTGCTCTGAAGAAAGTGGAAGAAAAGAACATTTTACCCTCTGAGGAGTTTAGAGAAATATTAAGGAGTATTTCCCTGACAGCTAACGGCTACGCTAAAGCTAAAGCTAAAGCAGAGATGAAGCAGCAGGAGCTGCTGAACACGCTAGCGCTCTGAACGTAGCATTAGGATCATGGCGGCCGCCTGCCCTCCATGGACGCCCCCTGCTGGCCGGTCTAGGTGTGTCAGCTATTTAAAGCTCAATGACTCTCAGTCAGCTGGTCACATGGACCCGGTCTCCAAGGTTACAGGCCGCTGTGGGCGTGTTCAGTGCGTTTACGTTGGGAGGCAGCTGGGCGTAGGCCTTCAGTCGGGTCCAAACCTCGGACTGGAAGCTGGCGTCGGGGAAAACCTCGGTGATCAGACCCAGCTGGCAGGCCTGAGTCGCCGTCAGCTTCTTATTGAACAGCAGCATCTCGCCGGCCTGCAGAGACGGACAAGTTAGAGCGGCTCTGATAACCGGGCCGCGGCCTCGGGGCGGTTCTGGTCATCGCTGCCGGTACCTTGGTGGGGCCCATTATTCTGGGGAAGGTGTAGGAGGAGCAGCCCTCTGCGCTCTGACCAAGCTGGGTGAAGGGAGTATGGAAGGTGGCCTGGAAGCAGAGAGGAGCAGAGGTGAATGGAACCGGGTCAGAACCCAAGCTAGAAACAGATCGTTTTCCTTATCGGCTTAAACTGGTTAAACTGGTCTTAACCCAGGCCCGCAGTGTGTTTTTCTCTACCCGCTCGGTGGCGTAGATCAGATCAAAGAGTCCCAACACGGTGACGGAGATTCCCACGGCGGGTCCGTTCACCACGGCAACCAGAGGCTTAGGGAAGTCGATGTAAGCCCTCACATACTTCCTGAGGAGGACAGGAAGTCAATATTAGGAGGACGAGATGATTTATAACACCATCAGCTTTAAATCATGAATTATTCTGGTGATGAATCATTAACTGTTCAGTTGCAGACATGTTCATTAAATTCTATGATCCAGAACAATATTTTGCAAGGGGAAGAAAATAGAGGTCTGCTGCCCCCTGCTGGACTCTTCTATTACAGTTTAAAAAAATAAAACTGAAGCAAATTGTTTAAATGTTCCTGAGTTTTAAGTAAATTTCTACTATATTAAAAATGTAAGTTGGAGGCAGGGTATTCTATCAGATTATACTGTGGGGGGGTGATAAAAATAATCAGACAGGTCAGCACAGGTTAGCACTGTGAAATCTGTCAGCATGGGATCAAGACTATGAAGACAGCAGTGAGAAGGTCTCTACGTTTTAGTTTTCCAAGGTTACATAAAGAGAGAAACTTGTACTGGTTTATGATTGGCCAGCGCCGTATCATCACCTCTTTTTAGACCAATTAAAAAACACAAACAGCTCTACTTTCATTCACTGGTCCGTCTAAGGTCTGAAGTTCTCCAATTCAATTTTAAACCTTTAAATGTAGAGAACATTTAGACTCTAGATGAACCTACCTGTCAATGAAACAAGAAGTTTTATGTCAATGTTCTATTATTGTTCTCTAAACTTTTGACAACCAGAGTAGGAACCTTTACTGTTACCAACCTGAGCAGCTCCCCACCCTGCCTGGCCATCTCCTGCACCCCTCCCTCTGGGATCTTGGTGAAGTTAGAGAGATCATTCCCACTGCAGTAGAAGTCTCCAGCTCCTGCAGGGAGAAAACAACGAAACGTTCAGCTTCAAAGGATCCGATTCACCTAAGGTTCTGATGCGGCCTCCTCTCTGGTCCTGTTCAGACCGTGGCCTTAAAGGAACCCATGGGGGGTCACAGGGTGCGATTGCTTCATTGCTTCATCATCTCTGCAGTGGGAGCCGTTTTTAGGTCTTTGTTGTGGATTAAATGCAGCTGATGGAGTTCAGTTTAACTGCATTGCACGGAGGGGGGGTCGTCATGCTGCGTGGTTCCTACCTGTGAAGACGGCAAACTTGGAGTCATCTTTAGCGGCCTGCTCCAGAGCGGTGATGATCTCGTTGTACATCTGATGGGAGGCGTAAAGAGACAGGAAGTCAACCTGCGGTAGTGATGTCACATGACATCATCAGAGCCAGCGCTGACCTCGGGGGTGATGGCGTTCTTCTTGGCCGGTCGGTTCAGTGTGATGGTGGTGATGTCATCCTCTGTGGTGACCAACAGCGTCTCGTATGCGGCTCCACCAGCGGCGGGCTTGGCAGCGACCTGGGCGGAGCTTCCTCCCTCTGCTTCCACCAGGGAGCCAATCAGGCTGCAGTACTGCTCCCTGGCTTCTTCCTGATGGATAAAAGCCTTTATGTCCTTAGATTGATCAATTAATGAAGGCTGGATGTTTTTATTTATAGTCTGTGGAGGAAAGGTCGGGACATTCTGACCTAATTTAATCGGATCCATTAACAGCTGATAGCTGAGCTAGCACTTTGGAATTGGGGTCGTTTGGCTTCTTTGTTAGCCTGCAATGCTCAATGCCAGTCTACGAGAATAAAGTCGTAACATTACAAAATTTTATTTTATGACAACTGTTACAGGCAGTTGATCGGATCGGAGATTAAAAAGTCGAACGCAGCGTGTTTTCAGCTAATTTTTCCACTGTGTAGCGCTAGTGAAGTTAGCACTTTCATCTATGGATCCTGGGTGAGTGGAGCTAGCTTTGTGGTTAGCTGCGCCCACCGCTGACTCTAAATCACTGAAACCTGAAGCTGTACCTGAGAGATGGTTCCCAGGGACTTCCACGCGTCCCATTTGGCCTTGTTCACAAAGTCCAGCATTCCTGGTTTGGGAGCGTTGCAGGGTCCCTGGGTGGCCTGGAGGAGGAAGAGGAGCTGTTACTATGGAAACACACCCCAGCTTAGCTATACTGATGTTTCCTGATGGGGTTACCATGGAAACACACCCCAGCTTAGCTATACTGATGTTTCCTGATGGGGTTACCATGGAAACACACCCCAGCTTGGCTATACTGATGTTTCCTGATGGGGTTACTATGGAAACACACCCCAGCTTAGCTATACTGATGTTTCCTGATGGGGTTACTATGGAAACACACCCCAGCTTAGCTATACTGATGTTTCCTGATGGGGTTACTATGGAAACACACCCCAGCTTAGCTATACTGATGTTTCCTGATGGGGTTACCATGGAAACACACCCCAGCTAAGCTATACTGATGTTTCCTGATGGGGTTACTATGGAAACACACCCCAGCTTGGCTATACTGATGTTTCCTGATGGGGTTACTATGGAAACACACCCCAGCTTAGCTATACTGATATTTCCTGATGGGGTTACTATGGAAACACACCCCAGCTTAGCTATACTGATGTTTCCTGATGGGGTTACCATGGAAACACACCCCAGCTTAGCTATACTGATGTTTCCTGATGGGGTTACTATGGAAACACACCCCAGCTTAGCTATACTGATGTTTCCTGATGGGGTTACCATGGAAACACACCCCAGCTAAGCTATACTGATGTTTCCTGATGGGGTTACTATGGAAACACACCCCAGCTTAGCTATACTGATGTTTCCTGATGGGGTTACCATGGAAACACACCCCAGCTAAGCTATACTGATGTTTCCTGATGGGGTTACTATGGAAACACACCCCAGCTTGGCTATACTGATGTTTCCTGATGGGGTTACTATGGAAACACACCCCAGCTTAGCTATACTGATATTTCCTGATGGGGTTACCATGGAAACACACCCCAGCTTAGCTATACTGATGTTTCCTGATGGGGTTACTATGGAAACACACCCCAGCTTAGCTATACTGATGTTTCCTGATGGGGTTACCATGGAAACACACCCCAGCTTAGCTATACTGATGTTTCCTGATGGGATGATTAATCCAATATGTCAGACATGACATCATGGGGGGTTCTGCAGTTTAGAGCGACCCAGTTCTGATAGTGAATAGAGATCCAACCCACACAGAGATGGAATGATGGTGATGCTGAAACCAGGCTTGGTTCTGAAACCAGTAACCAGGCTTTGTTTTTAAACCGTGAACCAGGTTTGGTTCTGAAACCAGGAACCAGGTTTGGTTCTGAAACCAGGAACCAGGCTTTGTTTTTAAACCGTGAACCAGGTTTGGTTCTGAAACCAGGAACCAGGTTTGGTTCTGAAACCAGGAACCAGGCTTTGTTTTTAAACCGTGAACCAGGTTTGGTTCTGCAACCAGGAACCAGGTTTGGTTCTGAAACCGTGAACCAGGTTTGGTTCTGAAACCAGGAACCAGGTTTGGTTCTGAAACCAGGAACCAGTTTTGGTTTTTAAACCAGGAACCAGGCTTGGTCCTTAAACTAGGAACCAGGCTTGGTTTTTAAACCAGGAACCAGGCTTGGTCCTTAAACCAGGAACCAGGATTGGTCCTTAAACCAGGAACCAGGATTGGTTTTTAAACCAGGAACCAGGTTTGGTTCTCCTTGGTTCTCCATCAGAGGGAGCAAAAGGAGGACGGCAGCAGACGGTGGCCTGATGCTGCTGAGGACCTGCAGGAACCTCCTGGTGGTTTAAAGGAACGCCGTCCGTGGGAGCGTCGGGCTAACGGATGACGGTCTGTGGTCACCTGACCTCCAACACACCTGGAGCTCCTCACCTGTTTGAAGAGGGCGTAGATCTTCAGTTTGACCTCGTTCCCTGGATCGGTCCTCAGCGCGCACAGCCTGCTCTTCGCCTGCTCAAACTCCTCCATGGTGGCACCTGAGGACACGCCCACATCCTGAAGGAACCAATAAGAAGACCTGTTCTGACGTCACAGGAATGAAAGACTCACCCATCATTGGAGATGCTGTGGAGCGGAAGGTCTGACTGGGAACACTGGACCTGAGCAGACTGGGAACACAGGAGAGGCTGGATAAATATGGAGGATCCAGGAAATGATCTGGTGGTTCCGGGTCTCCTTCCTGCTCAGACCAGAACCAGAACCAGAACTCTGATGCTGGCAGGAAACTGGACCAGGCTGTTGGTGTAAAACCTGAGCAGGAACCTCAGGGTGAACTTTGACCTGATTGTCAGGATCTCTTTGGTTTTCAGTTCAAATGGAGCAAAGTTCATAAGTTTAGCCTTAAACTTTATGATAATAAACATGTCAGAAATGAGTCTTTAAGGATAAATCGTTTTAAACACGTAGAGTTTGGTTCCTGCTCAGTTCCAAGTTAAAGTTCAAACATCGCGATAACTTCCTGGCAGAGGAGAACTCCGCCATTATTTCAAAGTTACCTTGTTGGTCTAACAAAGCGCCACAGACAGCGGCTCCTCAGCGCGGCAGCGGCCATCTAAACCCGGTTCCAGCAGGTCCAAAGGTCTGGAGGACGACGGAGGAAAAACAAGCTAGCTAAGGCTAACGAGGCCCCGCCCACTAGCACCATGTCCTGCTCTGCTATTGGTTCATCCGAAATGAGTTTACCCAGTGAGAGAAGGGTGTTCCAGCAGCACCAATCAGAGCGTGTAGCAGTGGTTAGACCCCGCCTCCTAAGGCATGGCCGACCAATGAGCGTTACGGTCATTGACATTATAGTAGGCGCTCCATTGGACGCTGTCGGCAGCGAGGTCGACATGCCTAGAGGGCAGCCATCTTGGATCAGACCACAGTTCAGACAGCTGCTGTCAGAATGAACAGGAGGCGCCTTAGATCTCATTTTAATCACATGAAAAACGACACAAAGATAATATAATAATCTCTGACTCGCCACAGCCCCTTAAAACACCAAAGCTAATTCTAAAATTCAGTTAGATAACACATATCTATACAGATTAAAAACTATTTAAACTGAACTGAAACTGGATGAGATATATGCAGTTATATATTTTGCAAATAAATATTAATATGATAAACACAATTCTTTATGAATATATGACAAGACTATGTTTTACGTATATGATATGTTTAACATTGACATATATGATATGTATATGACTTAGACAGATTTGTAATTTTGTTTACAAAAGTGTAAAACAAAAATAAATTTCATTTGGAAACAGCACACTGGACAATTTCATATTTTTAAAAGTGCAGCCTTGAAAAATAGTAAAAAAAAAAAAAAAAAATATATATATATATATATATATATATATATCAACCCTCACACATGTATCTCAGGCTCACACTGAGCCTGGTTCCACAGGAAGCTCCTTCCTGTTCAAAGGGAGTTTTCCTCTCCACTGTCGCTGCATGCTCTACAGGTGCTGGTCATAAAATTAGAATATCATGAAAAAGTAGATTGATTTCAGTAATTCCATTTAAAAAGTGAAACTTGTATATTATATTCATACATTACATACAAACTCATATATTTCAGATGTTTATTTTGTTTAATTTTGATGATTACAAATGACAACAAATGAAAATCTCAAATTCATCATATCAGAAAATTAGAATATTACTGAAGACCAATAAAAACAAAGGATTTATAGAAATGTTGGCCAACTGAAAAGTATGAACATGAAAAGTATGAGCATGTACAGCACTCAGTATTTAGTTGGGCCTCCTTTGGCCTGTATTACTGCAGCAATGCGGCGTGGCATGGAGTCGATCAGTCTGTGGCACTGCTCAGGTGTTATGATAGCCCAGGTTGCTCTAATAGTGGCTTTTAGCTCTTCTGAATTGTTGGGTCTGGTGTATTGCATCTTCTTCTTCACAATACCCCATAGATTTTCTATGGGGTTAAGGTCAGGAGAGTTTGCTGGCCAATTAAGAACAGGGATACCATGGTCCTTCAACCAGGTACTGGTAGCTTTGGCACTGTGTGCAGGTGCCAAGTCCTGTTGGAAAATGAAATCTGCATCTCCAAAAAGTTGGTCAGCTGCAGGAAGCATGAAGTGCTCTAAAACTTCCTGGTATGTGGCTGCGTTGACCCTGGACCTCAGAAAACACAATGGACCAACACCAGCAGATGACATGGCACCCCAAACCATCACTGACTGTGGAAACTTTACACTGGACTTCAAGCAACGTGGATGAAGTGCCTCTCTTCTTTTCCTCCAGACTCTGGGACCTTGATTTCCAAAGGAAATGCAAAATTTACTTTCATCAGAGAACATGACTTTGGACCACTCACCAGCAGTCCAGTCCTGTTTCTCTTTAGCCCAGGCAAGACGCTTCTGACGCTGTCTGTGGTTCAAGAGTGGCTTGACACAAGGAATGCGACAGCAGAAACCCATGTCTTTCATACGTCTGTGTGTGGTGGTTCTTGAAGCACTCACTCCAGCTGCAGTCCACTCTTTGTGAATCTCCCCCACATTTTTGAATGGGTTGTGTTTCACAATCCTCTCCAGGGTGCGGTTATCTCTCTTGCTTGTACACTTTTTTCGACCACATCTTTTCCTTCCCTTCGCCTCTCTATTAATGTGCTTGGACACTGAGCTCTGTGAACAGCCAGCCTCTTTAGCGATGACCTTTTGTGTCTTGCCCTCCTTGTGCAAGGTGTCGATGGTCGTCTTTTGGACAACTGTCAAGTCAGCAGTCTTCCCCATGATTGTGTAGCCTATAGAACTAGACTGAAAGACCATTTAAAGGCTTTTGCAGGTGGTTTGAGTTAATTAGCTGATTAGAGTGTGGCACCAGGGGCCATCAATTTTGAACCTTTTCACAATATTCTAATTTTCTGATATGATGAATTTGAGATTTTCATTTGTTGTCATTTGTAATCATCAAAATTAAACAAAATAAACATCTGAAATATATGAGTTTGTATGTAATGTATGAATATAATATACAAGTTTCACTTTTTAAATGGAATTACTGAAATCAATCTACTTTTTCATGATATTCTAATTTTATGACCAGCACCTGTATGAGGGATTGCTGCAGAGTCAATACCCCCTCTACCTACCTCTACCTGCTCATCATACATTAGCGACTCCATGCTGACTGAAGCGATCAAAGCTTCATGAATGCAGCTCCACCTACTGGTAGATCCGTGGTACTGCTGCGGTGGAGGAGGCATCTTTGTCTGCTGTGTAGGAACCTTCTAGTGGTTATGGTTCTCCAGAAGGTTCTGTTGCTGGTAGAACCTCAACCAACCTGGGAAAAAATGGCTTTAGTTCCAGTTGGAACCAACATTTTTAATGGTTTCTTTGGGTTTTAGGGGTGTGGGGTATCAGAGCCAGCGCTAAGCCTGGGATTTAAACTGAGCCACATTCTGACTACAGAGTCCTGTTTCCTCCAGACCTCCGTGGTTCTGATTGGACCTTCAGTTCGTCTCTCCTCCAGATAAACAGGTTTTATGATGTGGAGGTTTATTTGTTCCTGTTTCATAGAACATTAAATTTTTGATCTCCAGTTTTTGTTCTGCAGCTTCAGCAGGGAGCAGTGAAAGGTGAGGCCTGCAGGGGGCAGCAGATGCTGGATGAATCTGACTGCTGCGCCACCAGTCAGTCACTGACCAGTCCTCGCTGGTTCTTCCCAGTTCAAAGCAGAAGCTTAGAGGAGAGGCGACTGATGATCAGTCCAGATAGTAGATTTTATTTTATTTTTTCTGCTTTTATTTCAATCCGTTCTATTGTTTTAAGCAAACTTCATTTATAACTATGAGCTTGGTTCCATTATTAATTATCTTCGTAAAAAGTTAAAGTCGATGGTTCATTGGTAAAGGCCAGTGCGTTCCACGGAGCGTGGAAAACTCAGCTTCAGTCCTTAAACCAACAGCTCCCTCCTGTGGAGGACAGTGATAGAGAAGCTCAGAGCTCCTGTTTGCTGCCAGCAGGTGGCACCAGCTGATGGATGTGGAGGCAGTGTATATACTGTATACCATCAGCTACCTCCTCCTTCTTCACCTTTGACCTTTTGAGCTGATGGAACAAGTTAATTTCTCCACTTTAAGATCAATCAATCAGTCAAGAAAGGAAACAGCATCATCAACTGTTCAGAGGTTCACACCTGATGAGGCGTTTGATTGGTTCCAGGAACCACTATCTGTAGCTGTTTATCCTTCAGGAGGGGAGGAGCAGCAGGGGGCGGAGCTACAGCTCCCTGCAGACACAGAGTTTTATCAAAGTTTTCCATCAGAGCTTGAATCGTTTTAGTCTTTAGATGAAGGTTATCACATGTCAGTGACATCATCATCCCTAAAACTATTTAAAATCCATCAGTTTTTGTGTTAATGAGGTATTTCTGAGGACGATGCAGCAGCGGCGGGTCTGGATTATCTCCGACCTGCAGAGCAGCACTTTCTATTGATGCCGTCAGACAGAGGCAGGCAGCAGAATCAGCAGAGGAAGCCCTGACTCAGCCCATCCTTTAAAGCCCTCTCCCCCCGCGCCGGGCCTCTCCGGGACCCCCCTGCCATATAAATTGGGCTGTCCAACTTTTTCTCGGTTACACTGCGTGTGAGGTTGCGAGACAGGTTGGACGACATCCAGTGGGAGAAACATGTCGCAGTACTCTGGAAAGGTGAGTAGCAGGTGCTGGGATATCACACCTGAACACTAAAGATGTTAAATAATTAAGATCAACTAAAGTCTAAATAAATTAACTTATTCAAACGTTTAAGCTAAAGTTCCAGTTTACCACCTGCAGGGGGCTCCGTTCTCTAAAGCCTGTCTTTATCGTAACATGAGATGTTTGAGAAATGGGTCAGTCCAAATCCTGCGAAGGAACTTTATCCAGGGCTGCTGAATCCGGACAACCTTCAGCCCTAAAGTCGTAGGGAAGCGGCCGTTCCATTCCGATGCGTTTCCGAATTCTCCCGAGTGGTGCCCAACTTTACAGGAGTGAATAAAGTGAATGTGATTGGTCGATTATCAAGGGGGCGGGATTGTAGAGGCGGAAGGTTCGCAAGCAAGTTTGGTTGTAGCCGGTTTGTCGGAAGCCTCTTGCTAACCAGTTAGCATCTTAGTGCTAGCAGGTTCCCAATGGGAAATTCCATTGGGACCAAGTAGCACTAGGTTACTAACCAGTTAGCAACTTAGTGCTAGCAGGTTCCCAATGGGAAATTCCATTGGGACCAAGTAGCACTAAATTGGTGACTTAGAAACGACGCTGTCAAGGAACGCTATGGACAGCGGAAACATGCAAGAGGAGGAGAGTTTAGTGTCGGAGGTCGTGGATGAGTCTCCTCCGTCATCCATGTTTTATTTAGAGGAGGAAAGCGGGGACGAAGATGTTGTGGAAGAGGACGCCAGGGCGGCAGAAGCTTGGTTTGGTGTAGAAGGCTTCCAGCCGTCCATGTTTGAGCCCTCGCCTCGCAACGCTGCCAGTTCTGTTAGCTCTACGCCTGCCGAAGACACAGACGTCCATCCCCGTGAACACTGGGACGCAACTCAATGGGAAAGGAAAGGATTCTGGTTTCAACCGTTGCGTATATTAGCTGCGACACATGAATCAAGATGCTATGACCGAAAACATTTGATTGACAGATGACCGTTGATATATGATTGGCCGAATTTAGGTGTTCAGGCTGACGTAGAACTAACTGGCCTGCAGAAGATAACGTAAAAAAAACACTTTTTAAGACAGGATTTATTTGAAAATAGAAATTTTCTAACTTTTTTATATACATGTTTAAGCCTACGACTTTAAAGACGATATTATGGTATGAAAACCAACACCAAACCATCTTCGTGTTCAAAGGGAGTTTTTCTTCTCCACTGTCGCTACAAGCATGCTTAGTGTGAGGGATTGCTTAGATAGAAAACTTTGAATCATTCTGACTGGCCTTGAGATGACATGCACATGTATACATATATATATATATAGCTCACTGGAATGAGGAATACTTTCTACTTTCTTCCACACACAATATGGCGGTGATGTCATGGAGCAGACATGGCGCCCAATGTGGTGTCTATGTATATGTGTCTGTGGGTTCAGGTGGGAGATGAGTAGAGGCTGTCAGGATGAAGTCCTGACATCATCATCATCATCATCCTGGACCTGACAGGACGCCATTGCTCCGTCGTGACCTTCTCTGAGCTTCACAGCCATCTTGGTTTAGGTCTCAGTGACATTCTGACCGTCTCCTCCTGCAGATCACCTTCTACGAGGGGAAATGCTTCACCGGCAGGAAGCTGGAGGTCAGAGGGGACTGTGATAACTTCCAGGACCGCGGCTTCATGAACAGGTGAAGAACCGGCTGGAAGCTTTTAGAACATCCTAACAAACACATTTCCTCCTGATTTTCACAATAAAAGCTCGTCCTGTTCCCCCCTGTCCTCAGAGTGAACTCCATCCGCGTGGAGAGCGGAGCCTTCATCTGCTACGACCACCCCGACTTAAAGGGCCAGCAGTACATCCTGGAGCACGGGGTGTACCCAGAATTCCAGAGGTGGAACGCCCACAACGACCACATGGGATCCTGCAAGCCCATCCGCATGGTAAGCAGCCAGACCCGGTTTTAGGGTCCACCGGGTCAGTAGGACCTAGATGTTCTGCATTTATCGGATCTGACTGACCCGTGTTCTCTCTGCCGTGTTCCTCAGCATGGAGAACATTACCGCATCGAGCTCTTCGAGGCCTGTAACTTCTCCGGCCAGTGCGTGGAAATCTGCGACGACTGCCCCTTCCTGCAGAGCCGCGGCTTCTCCAAGAACTGCATCAACTCCGTCAGGGTCTTCGGAGACGGAGCGTGAGTCCAGCACCTTCTCCAGAACATCTCGGTCCATCAGAACAGAACCGGTCCGACCCAAACGCACCGATCCCAGATCTCCATTCAGCTCATCGGGTTCCGGCAGGAGCTAGTCGCGTCTTCCTGGTTCCTGCTAACGTTCTTTTCTTAGAGATGAAGGTTCACCTGAAGCTCCACCCCCTGTGGTCGGACCGGTACCAGCCGGGTTCTTCAGAGGGTTCCTGATGGACCCTCTGACCAACGCAGCAGGCGGAGACGCCGACGTTTACGACGTCAGTGTAATTATAGGAAATAATTGGGTGTTTGAGTCGAACGGCGTCACGTCTCCAGGTATAGGAAGGAAACGCTTCACCTCTACTTCCTGCTGTAACATCACTGATGTCACCAGAGAGGACGAAGCCATGTCCATATTTGGACGTCATGTCCTTCTGTGGCAGCATCATGCTGTGTTTAACTGCAGGACGGAAACCAACTGGATCCATGTTCTGAAGGGTCCGCCTCAGTGTTCTGATCTTAGTCCTGAAGAACCTTAGAGTGGGCGGAGCTAAAAACCTGACCCACTTCCTGTGGTTCTGCTGGGAAACATCTGACCCAGATGAGATGGTTCAGTTCTACAGAACTCTGAAAGTTCTGATTCAGGAGTCACTAAAAGATTCCTTCCGCTGAGACGGACTGATCCAGAACCGTGGGCGGTTCTGGATCAGTCCGTCTGCTCTCGGTCACCATGACCTGAAACCAAAGGTTTCTGGACCCAATTGGTTCTGCCGGGTCCAGCACTGATGGTTCTGAGATGGTCTGATCTGGCGATGAAACGGAACCTCCTGGTTCTGTAGAACCCACTGGTTAGAACATGTGACTGAAACCAGGCGGTAACTTAGGCTGCGTTCCCGCCGCAGCCTGAAGTGACTTAAATACGATTTTTTTGCCCGTATCCGACCTGGATCTGATCTTTTCATGGCGGTCCGAACAACACAGATCCGATGTTTTCCAATGCGACATAACGAGCTCTGTGGTCCTGAATCTGATACGAATCTGATCTTTTCAAATGCGACCTGCGTTTTTGAACAGGTCGCGTTCATCCGACCTGAACGCCATTAATACCCGACAAACGTCGCTATTCTGGGTGTTGCTGTAAAGAAGCGGCAAGAAAAACAACAACCATGGCGGACGATGATGCGGAGAGCAGCATTTATGTCTACCATCTTGAAAAGATTGAGTTTTTAAGGTTGTGAAAGATTGCTAGATGCGCTCCGGCGCTACCATCCATGTTTACTTCCGTAAACACAGAGCACGCGCACGTAGCCCTGGAGACCCAATCAGCTTCCACCCGCCACCTTTCAGAACCAATATGGCCGTCACAGACACAGCCCGCCTCTGAACCAGGCCACCATGTGTCCGCCGTGTTCTGAAAACACACAAACACACATAAGCAGGTTCTGGTTCTGGATGGTCAGACCGGGTCAAAGCATTAATGTTCTATTGTTTGAACCCGTCACCACGTCTTGAGCCGGTTCTGTTTCTGACCCGCTTTCTCCTCACTCCGGTCCAGATGGGTGATGTACGAGGAGCCGAACTTCCGGGGCCGGATGTACATCGTGGAGCGCGGGAACTACTGCAGCCCGACCGAGTGGCAGGCCCAGAACCCCAACATCCAGTCCATCCGCAGAGTCGTCAACTACTTCTGATCCAGAACCGCCTGCTGCTCGTCCCACTAATAAAGGCAGACTGACAGAAAACTGTTTTTTATCAAAGCCTCTGAGTCCGTGGTGCTGATTTCTGCTCCTGAACAGAACCTTAGAATGTTCTGTTGGGTTCTAGCTCTGTAGAACGTAGCATCGTTGGATCTGCAGGAGGGAAACCAGAACCCTGCAGGGGTGGCGGGATCAGAACCTGTCTAATAAAGATTTGACATAAAACTCTCTGGGCGGATTCTCCTGAACTGATTAACCCTCCTCATCCTCACAGCCAGCTCCGGGTCCACAGGTGGTTCTGGTTAATCAGAGCTTTAGTGGGTCCAGTCCAGTCATCTCGGGCCAGAACCGGTCCAAACATGCATCCTATTAGAGCTGATCTCTGTTTAAAAAGCCTCATGCAGTTTATAAAACATCAGAGATAATAGGAAACATCTAAACATATGATGTCACTGGATTATAAAAACTATTTTATTCATTCCAGCTGCTAAACGTTTTGGTTCTGATCGGTTCTGACCAACATGGAGATAATAAACATTATAGAATAAAAGCTGTGATGTCACAGCCAGAACTAGAAGAAGCGTACTGATGACATCACCACATCCAAAGCTAGTCTGGATCTGCATTTCACCTCCTGTTATTAATAGTCTCTAAATAATAATAAATTATGACTTTTTTCTTTTAGTGGAGGAATAATAATGAACACAGTCAGATAAACACAAATTAAATGAATATTTTGCCAAATCAAACAATCAGACCTCCATCAGAGCCAGCGGTCCTTCACACACAGCTATGCAGAGAGAGGGCTGCTGCAGACGGGCTAACGTTAGCCCTGGCCGCTGCAGACGGGCTAACGTTAGCCCTGGCCGCTGCAGACGGGCTAACGTTAGCCCTGGCCGCTGCAGACGGGCTAACGTTAGCCCTGGCCGCTGCAGACGGGCTAACGTTAGCCCTGGCCGCTGCAGACGGGCTAACGTTAGCCCAGGCCGCTGCAGACGGGCTAACGTTAGCCCTGGCCGCTGCAGACGGGCTAACGTTAGCCCTGGCCGCTGCAGACGGGCTAACGTTAGCCCTGGCCGCTGCAGACGGGCTAACGTTAGCCCTGGCCGCTGCAGACGGGCTAACGTTTGCCCTGGCTGTGGTTAGCCTTGGAGGTCAGCTGGTTGCTGCGGTCCTCTAAACATTGTCACTTTTTTTAAATTCTGCACTAAATCAGTAAATGTTCCATATAGTGAAGCTTAAAGTTTAATATTTTCGCCTCAAATGATCTTAAAACGTACTTTTATTGAACAACAGAAAAGAGAACTTTTATCTTAATCCTCTGAGCTCTGTGAGCGCTAACCTGGAAGCTGCTGCTGCTGCAGTGCATGCTGGGACAGCTGTCAGTCTGGAGAACCGACAAGTCTGCTCTGATGCATGCTGGGTAAAGAGGGAGGGGCCAGAACAACATCTGATTAGTGTGCAGAAGGTTTTATTGAGGCTCCATCAGAACCAGACGACACCAAACAGGAAGTTCCTCTTAGAAAATCAAACAGAAAACTTTCATCAGATCGAACATAAGCAGCAGAAACAAAACATTTGGAAACTGAAAGAATCGGCGACTGAAACATCTGAGGAGCTTCCTTCAGAACGTAGAGTTTCACTTCATGGTTCCTGGAGTCAGAGGGGGGACGTCCCGCCTGGACCTGCTGTCTCAGGCTCAGACGGTGTGGGACGGTCCTCTGCTCAGGTAGGTCTTCAGGGTGGAGATGAGCTCGCTCTCCTCCTCCAGGGTCAGGTCCAGATAGTCCTCCTCGTGACGGGAGATGTCCTCCAACACCTCGTTCACCAGCTCGCTGTCCTCTGAAGGACAAACAGGGAACACTTAGAGGACATGCCCGCTGGCGCCACCCGCTGGACAGAGTTCACAGAAACCTGTTAGAGAGACACACCTGGGGAGCTGGACGAGGAGCCGGCCTCCTCGGTAGAAGGAGAGGAGGAAGACGAGGAGGTGGAGGGTGGAGACAGCAGGTCTGGGGACAGGACGCCCTGATTGTCCAACAGCAGCTGGGTCGCTGACTGGACGTCGTCTCCTGTCAGCCTGAGGGCTTCTTCAGCAGAGGGTCTGTCAAAGCCCAGATACAGCAGCTGGAGGGACAGAGAGGGACAACAACTGGATCAGAGGGTGGAGTCAGGGGGACAGGGCGACCTGTGGACAGACACAGAGGACGGAGGACAGCTGTTGGACAGATGCAGCCTCACCTGCTCCACCTTCTCTGGGCTGACCGTCTCCTGGGAGCTGCTCCGACCCGCCTGAGAGTCCAGCAGAACCTGAGAACAGACAGAGCCATGAGCGACCGGCAGCGTCTGGTTCTGATGGACGGACTGAGCGGAGACTGACGGAGTACGCTTTGTCCACGTCCCCCTCGGCGTGGTGCAGAGCTCTGGCTGCATCTGTCCTGGAGAAGCCCAGCTCCATCAGGCTGCTGATGGCCTCCATCCTTGTCCTCCTCTTCCGTCTCTCCCTCTGCTTCAGCTCCTCGCGCTCCTGGTCCAAACAGAGCAACATTCAGGGCTACAGAACCGCGCATAACAGAACCAAAGCAAGATCAACGGGTCAAAGGTCAACGGCACGATTCTGAGATCCCAGAACTCAGGAAAGAGTCCAGATCTGAAGGAACCAGAAAGTTCTGAAGGTCTCAGCTTCTCAACCCAGATATGGTCTTACCTGCCGCTGGTTGCTGATGTGGATGGCGGCCTCCTGCACGTCTCCTCCACAGGCCCGGAGTCCCAACCGGGCCTCCCGCTCCGTGAATCCAAGAACCAGGAGCTGCGACATCTTCTCCGAGTCCGGAGAAAGACGTCCATACAGGTCCTCCACCTGGGAACGAGTAATTCTATCATAGAACCATCACAGAGACGGGACCAGAACACAGGACCATGAAACTGGACCATGAGAACGTTGGAACAATCGGGTCTAAATGTGGAACATAGAACCCTCTAACAGGGGAACATGGAACCCTCTAACAGTGGAACATTGGAACCCTCTAACAGTGGGAACATGGAACCCTCTAACAGTGGAACATGGAACCCTCTAACAGTGGGAACATGGAACCCTCTAACAGGGGAACATGGAACCCTCTAACAGTGGAACATTGGAACCCTCTAACAGTGGGAACATGGAACCCTCTAACAGTGGAACATGGAACCCTCTAACAGTGGAACATGGAACCCTCTAACAGTGGAACATTGGAACCCTCTAACAGTGGAACATTGGAACCCTCTAACAGTGGAACATGGAACCCTCTAACAGTGGGAACATGGAACCCTCTAACAGTGGAACATGGAACCCTCTAACAGTGGGAACATGGAACCCTCTAACAGTGGAACATGGAACCCTCTAACAGTGGAACATAGAACCCTCTAACAAGAACCCTCTAACAGTGGAACATAGAACCCTCTAACAGTGGAACATTGGAACCCTCTAACAGTGGAACATAGAACCCTCTAACAGTGGGAACATGGAACCCTCTAACAGTGGAACATGGAACCCTCTAACAGTGGAACATGGAACCCTCTAACAGTGGAACATTGGAACCCTCTAACAGTGGAACATTGGAACCCTCTAACAGTGGAACATGGAACCCTCTAACAGTGGGAACATGGAACCCTCTAACAGTGGAACATGGAACCCTCTAACAGTGGGAACATGGAACCCTCTAACAGTGGAACATGGAACCCTCTAACAGTGGAACATAGAACCCTCTAACAAGAACCCTCTAACAGTGGAACATAGAACCCTCTAACAGTGGAACATTGGAACCCTCTAACAGTGGGAACATGGAACCCTCTAACAGTGGGAACATGGAACCCTCTAACAGTGGAACATGGAACCCTCTAACAGTGGGAACATGGAACCCTCTAACAGTGGAACATGGAACCCTCTAACAGTGGAACATGGAACCCTCTAACAGTGGAACATAGAACCCTCTAACAGTGGAACATAGAACCCTCTAACAGTGGAACATTGGAACCCTCTAACAGTGGGAACATGGAACCCTCTAACAGTGGGAACATGGAACCCTCTAACAGTGGGAACATGGAACCCTCTAACAGTGGAACATGGAACCCTCTAACAGTGGAACATGGAACCCTCTAACAGTGGGAACATGGAACCCTCTAACAGTGGAACATGGAACCCTCTAACAGTGGAACATTGGAACCCTCTAACAGTGGAACATGGAACCCTCTAACAGTGGAACATTGGAACCCTCTAACAGTGGAACATGGAACCCTCTAACAGTGGGAACATGGAACCCTCTAACAGTGGGAACATGGAACCCTCTAACAGTGGAACATGGAACCCTCTAACAGTGGGAACATGGAACCCTCTAACAGTGGGTACCTTGGACAGCAGCAGCAGAGCCTGCCGGTCGTTTCCTTCGACGTAGGACAGGAGGCTCTGCAGGAGGTAAAGACGCAGGAACAGGACTTCCTCTCTGCCTGTGTTGCCCTGGCAACAGACACACATGTTAGCGGTCTATAGTTCAATAAAGAGAGTTCTCTGACTGCGGCTCCACACGGTGGCAGAAACAGGAAGCTGCGCCGGACCTTGATCATCAGCAGCCTCTGCTGCTGCTCTCCGTAGCACTTCAGGAAACACTCCTTGGCCCGCTGCAGGCGGTTCCGGCCGTCTTCCAGACAGGACAGGGCCTCCAGGGCCCAGTAGCACCACACGATGTCCAGCTGCAGCACGGCGTAGTTGTCCACGGAGCTGAGCAGAGCTGACCCGCATTTACTGAAAGGAAAGAAGGTGGTCACAGCCTCCGCTGGGCTTTTATTCTGAAAGGTCGGCGGCGGTTCCTACCTGAACTGCTGGTCGGCCTGCAGCAGGTGGCACAGCGCGTTATCGTACTGCTTCCTCTTCATCAGAGAGCGGCCCTTCTCATGGAAACCCATGGCCAGGATCAGAGCCTGACACACACACGGCAAAGAGCGGTTAGAGGCTGCAGCGCCCCCTGCTGGCTGGACGGACATGCTACATTGGTCTGAGGAGGTCAGAGGTCAACCTTCTTCTCCTGGTGAGGGATCTTCAGCGGGTTTCCTTTCTGGTCTGCGATCTCCAGGAACGGCGTGGTGTCCGGATCCTCGCTGCCGTCTGCCAAACAGAACCGGGATGAGTTCAGATCCATCCAGAGCGGCGGATTGCGTAGCTGTCAGAACCCACCTCTCTCCGACAGGATCTGGAACCCTTTCTGGGTCCTCTGGATGCTCTCCTTCTGGTTCTTCTTCTCCTCCTCCTCCTTGCTGATCTGCTCGGCGTCGCTGACCTTCAGGACCATCACCTTGCTGTGGTTCTTCACCCCCTGCTCATCCAGACGCTGATCTAGAACATGATAACCAGAAGAGGGGGGGGTCAGAGAGCCAGCTGCAGGTGCGTGAACCGCTGTGCAGAGATGGGTACCGACCCACGCTCAGCGTTCTCCCGTTCAGGATCAGTTTGACGTGTTTCACGCTGAACTCCTCGGTGATCCTGCAGCAACAAACAAACAGAAGTTCCGACTGATGAAGCGGAGAGACGGGTCGGTCAACGATACCTGTCCACATGGACGTAGTCTGGGGGGGGGACATGTCCTCTGCACTTTTGACTGTCCAAAAACAACATTATGCTGCAGTACACCCACAATCGTCAAGCACTAGGACCAAGCTGAAAACCGCAGCTAAAGCTAGAGTTTGGACCCGCCTCCTGATTGGCCGTCCGTCTCTTCTCGTGTGATTGGCTGTCACCGCTGTCACTCTGAGAAGCTCTCTGTACAAACATCTAATGCGCCTCTGAATCTGCTCTGTGATTGGCCGGTTACAGCGCCGCTGAAGTCCTGCCAGCTACCTTAATAACAGCTGTAGGGTGGCAAGACTTTTTCGCTGCTTTCTGGTACGTTTTGGATTTTTAAAAATAACTTTAACGGTCCGGTAGTTACGGTCAAACCTGGATCTGATTTTATCAGGAGAGATGCAGGAGGAAGAGGAGGAAACAAACGGAGAAGATGGCGGAGTGGCGGCCTAGTGGTTAGGGCGTAACCCCCCCGCCCTAAATAAATCATGTTTTGTTCCGTGCCTGTCCACCAGCTGCTGCCCCGGGACGTCCAGCCTGGTCTCCAGGAACTTCTTCACCTTTGGTTCCTGGAAAAAAAAGGAGCGCATCAGTTCCACCAGCAGCTGAGGTTTCTAACGTCACACTGTGATGATGTCACTGACTCCGTCCCCTCCCCGTCTCACTGCTCCACCTTTTTGGCGTCTCTAGGCAGCAGCAGCTCCAGCGTGGCCACGCTCGTCTCCCTGAAGGTCCGGTTTCCTTTCCCTCTCTCCACGGCCTGGGCCCGGATGGACTCCAGGGCGCCCCCTACCTCCGCCTCGGGCAGGTTCAGGAGGGGAGCGTAGCGCCGCGCCAGCTCCTACGGCAGGAACACAGAGGACAAAATAGATAACAGAAACCCTGAGGCGGCGGCTGAGGACGATGCCTTCCTCCAGACCCACCTGCAGGTGCTGGTCTCCTGGCTGGTTGTCCTCCTGGGTGAACGGAGGGTTCCACAGCTGGATCCTCTCCTGCTTCAGCAGGTTCTTCAGCTTTGCCTGCGTGTTTTGCTCCGCCATCTTCACAGGAGAAATGAAAGTAAACCAGAGGAGACAGGGGGGAGGGACAGCAGGTGGACGTCCCCGTCCAGGTGGGGTTTGGTCTGGACCTGATCTGGGTCCCAGAGCCGCAGCTCAGAGCAACCAGCTGGAGATCAGCGACAACTCCGCAAAAACTACAGGTTACGCTTCGGGAAGACAGTAAACATTTCAGCTGACAGGAAGCAGGAGATCAAAACTTCACAGGATTTTCAAAGTAAAACTGAATAAATTTAACTTTTCTAAAATTAATAAAAAAACAACTATATTCTAAATTCAGACCGAAATAAACTGTTTTAATAATAATAAAGGCTTATATTTCAATGTTAATAAACACAATAAAACTCATTACGTGTGATTTATATCCATCATTAGGAGCCCTTTGACATAAAACATTAAACATTTTCTTTTTCTACTTCATCCGAATAGAGATGATTCTATTGGAAGCCAAATATCCAACTTTAATCTTTAACAATCTTACAGTGGAAATTTATTTTTGTGTGTGTTAAAAACTCCAAACAAAAGGAAAACAAGGCTTTTATTTTGAAAGTTTTCCTTCCTGGTTGGAATCGAAGAACCCGAACAAATAAAACCCATCAGAACTGAACAATTTCTCTAAAGCTGAGTCTAAATTCCAAACTTTTATATTAAATTAAACTTTAATATCTAATTTTAATACAAACAGGAAATGACGTCATTTCCATCACAACAACACGGACATGTTACTCGGTGAGCTAGCTTGCAAATATTCGAGACAAGCTCCTAAATTTGAGGTTTAAACTTCAGCATTTTATTAAAGTTAGAACAAAGTGGTAGTTTTATCAAAGCTGGAGCTGAAATTAAATCACTAAACATCTGAATAAACTGCCAATAAGTGAGCTTGTAGCTCCAGAGACGCTGACAGACGTTCATTTAGCAGCTTTGGACGTTATTAGCTTCAGAAAGCTAAGGCTAACTCAGAGGTACCTTAATGTTAGAGATGAGCCGCTGGCAGAACAGAGCTGGAGCAGCTAGAACATCTGAAACATCTCCAGTCCACCGCTGACGTCTCCATGAAGCACCTAAACATCACTGCGAGAGGTCTCACTCTGAGCGGATATACTGGGCCCGCTGCACGGTGAGAGGCACCCCAGGCACGGGGCATCTCAGCTTAATACACGATCTTTGTCACGCAGACGGTTCCCCGCGAGGGTCAAACAACGCAATATAACAACTCTACATAGGAATTATGAAATAACGATAAAAAAAAAAAACATATAATACAGGGAGAATAAAAGTATTGGAACAGAAAAGCAAAATGAAATAATGGAAATAAATCAGAAAGAAGTTAAAGAAGAAGTTTGTGGCGCTGTTTGTAAAGTTAAACAGTGAAAGATTAGGAGAAATATTTATGGTTATTTAGCGCGTTTTAAGGGAAAAAATATTGTTTTTATCGTGATGTTATTACGGAAGAGGATTAGGGCCACTGAAAAAAAAAAAAAAGTTTACTGATTTTAAAATTTTATTTCAATTTAGTATTGAAAAAAAGTCAGAATTCTGACTTTTTTTTCAGTGGCCCTAATCCTCTTCCGTATTTTATACACCTGTCATTCATTCACTTATAAAAATTTAAGTTCCAAAAAAAGGTCAGTTAAAAAATGTGTCAGCAAGCGAAATATTTATTATTTTAACTAAATATTTATTTTCCAAACTAAATACTTAGATTGTTAAATAAATATTTAGCTCCAAAATAAATACCTATTTGACAAATATTTTTTAAATAGACCTGAAAGACGCTAGTTAACCATAAATATTGATTTTTGACTGCTTAACTTTACAAACGGCCCCCAGTGAGCTCAGGGCCAATCGATGGATCCCTGCAAACATCAAGCTTGATGTTCTGATGCCTTTAATAAAATGTTTGTCCTTCAGAACCTGCAGTATTCTGAGGTTTCTGCTTTGATATCAATAAATATTGGATTTTTATTTACCTCTTTATTCACCATCGGTCGGTGTTCAGTGGGATTTATCTTGATAAAGATCAGTTAAAAACTAAGAATGAAGCATGAATTAGAAATGATTTACTGCTGGTAAAACTTTATTGATCCTCCTGATAAATATAAGAAATATTGATGAGAAACAAGTTCAAACCTTCATAGATCCAGAGAGTTCTTCTGAGATCCTTTAAGGCTAGGCTTAAAACTTTCCTTTTTGATTAAGCTTCTAGTTACAGTGGCTCAGGTTATCCTGAGCTATCTCTATAGTTCTGCTGCTATAGGCTTAGACTGCTGGAGGACATAGGGACCCCTTTTTCATCGTTCTGGTGGTAAGGAACCGAGCTTGGCACGGATCGGTTTCAGAGGGTAGTGGAAGTGGGGCTCATTTATTATTACAGATATTATTTCTTTATTATTTCCACCATCATCCAGACCCCTGAGAATCATGACACCACGTAGATAATGACCCCAAAAAGAGCATCTAAAGCCAGGTGTACTCTGTACCATTTCTTGCCCTTTTCGCACCAACTTCCAGCCTGATGGTGAGCGGTGTAGTGAACAGGGGGTAACGAGGGGCGATCAGCCTCTAAGGACCACCTCCTCATCAGGAATCGTACAGTTGGGGGAAAATCAAAGGAGCTAACGGCCTAAATGAGCAGATAGGCCGTTTCTTTTCCCACTGCGTCTCTGTCAGTGAACGCCTCACAGCAGCCAAGTCAGACTCTGCTAGAACAAATAAGCCTTTTTCTACAACCTCTCCACCGTCTCTGATAGAAACACACGCCTCCACAGACTGCTGTTATTCTGCTTTCTTTAATCTGTTTCATGAGGGAATGAAACCCGCATTTAAATCTGTTTGTTCAATGAAACCATGGGACAAACATTAGCAGTTTACATCTATGGAGGGTTCCCCATAGATCCAGATTGAACAGAATCTGCAGCAGAAGCTTCATCCAGACTCTGGATGGAAGTTCTGGTGGATTTCAGAGATCAGTAGAGACCGAGGCTCCTGGCAGCCTCTGATATCTTGGGGGTTCTCCTGGTGGGAAACGGGTACGGGTTCTGGGAGGATCCGGACCCCCCTCCTGCACTCAGCTGCTCAGAGACACCACAGCTTGTTTGGAGGTTCTGGGAACCACTGGTTCCTGATGACTGGTTCTCCTGCTGGTTCTGGTCACGCCTGGTGAAACTGGACCTGGACCCATGGACACCAGGCTGCTGAGAAACCCTCTCTGTGGTTCTCCAGGGGGAGTTGTAGGGAGAACCCTGACCCCCCCGGGAATCTCTGGAGTATCCTTCACCAGACCCATCAGAGACTCCAGATCCAGGATCAGCACCGACTGGCAGTTCCTGACTGGAGAGATCCGAGTCTGAGAAGCTGCAGAAACAGTCAGACGGGGACGGGTTCGATGAGCGGACCTTCGAGGCTGGAGAACAGGAACGTCTGCAGATAAACACCAGAGACACGTCAGAGGAACCGGCAGAACCTTCGGTTCTACAGACCAAAGGTCCGGACTTGGAGACAATAAGGAGGAACATTCAGGCTGGAACCAGAACCAGGGAAGCGGATCAGGGATCCGGAACCAGGGAAGCGGATCAGGGAACCGGAACCAGGGAAGCGGATCAGGGAGAACCTGTGAGGTTCAGCTAAACGCACTGACCTGCAGGTCCTCTGCCCCATCTGCGTGCTCAGCACGGGACGGCGGCGCCGGTGGAGGTCCAGGTGGACGCGCCACGGGTCCGACATCTTCTGGTCAGAGTCTAAATATACGACAGGAGGGGAGGGGCTGGACGGTTCCCATGACGACGTCCAACCCTGAGAAACAGGGACGATGCTGATGGCGTCGGACAGCTCGCTGAAACCTGGAGACAGAAAGTTTTCACCTGAAGAGAGAATCGGATTTGAACGAAGATGATCAATAATCTGACGATTAAACTGCTGAATAATGCGATCAATAATCCGATCAATAATCTGACGATTAAACTGCTGAATAATCCGATCAATAATCCGATCAGTAATCCGATCAATAATCCGATCAATAATGCGATCAGTAATCCGATCAATAATGCGATCAATAATCCGATCAGTAATCCGATCAATAATCCGATCAATAATGCGATCAGTAATCCGATCAATAATGCGATCAATAATCCGATCAATGTTCCCTGGTCCTCTTGGCTCCGCCTCCATAAGGTGCATTTATTTAACTAATAGCCGCTCTATAGATCTATAGAAATGTATCCAAATAGAGATTGTAACGCTGACGTGATTCTGTAGGTCTATAATTCTCAGATTTACCTTTTTTAAACACATTTATCATATTTCTACATTTCTTAACTCGGTTTTGTTGCATTTCTGCTAATTCTAACATCAAACCTTCGCTGAGACATTTGGACCAGATCAGATGTACTGAAGAAGACGACGGTTCTAATCCCTCATCAAAACCAAGACCCAACAATCCATCTGTCCACTTTCCTGTCCTCTGACCCGTCTACTGACCCGTCCACTTTCCTGTCCTCTGACCTGTCCTCTTTACTGTCCACTTTCCCGTCCTCTGACTCCTCTACTAACCCATCCTCTGACCCGTCCACTAAACCGTCCACTAAACCGTCTACTGACCCGTCCACTAACCCGTCCACTAAACCGTCTACTGACCCGTCCACTAACCTGTCCTCTGACTCCTCTACTAACCCGTCCACTAACCCGTCTACTGACCCGTCCACTAACCCGTCCACTGACCTGTCCTCTTTCCCGTCCTCTTTCCTGTCCCGACCAGTTGAAGTTCCGTCCTCTGTTTTTCTCTGCAGATCCTGTACTGCTGTGTGAGCGCTGACACATCCATCTTCCTCCTCTCCCTCCTCCTGGTTCCGGCTCCCTGCAGGAAGTCTAGGCCCCGCCCACTCAGTCACACCTGTGTGCAGTAAAGCAGCAGCCTGCGGTCACCCAGCTGATCCCTGATCAGATTCAGGCTCAGTGTTGGTCAGTTTCTAAAGAAATGAGATGCAGATTTTCTACCAGACAGCCTGCAGACATTAAACGGTGTAGAGATGATGATACTGGAAGCTGCTTTTATTGCTTCCTGCTCAGCGAAAGGAATAAAACTAGAGACACAACCGGTAGATCAGAGGATAGAAATGAATGAGGTAGAAGGAAGCTGGTTCTATTCATAGGAAGGTAGAAAAGGAATAGAAGATAGACCGCTGCTGGTTCCTCTAAGGCACCAGACAAAGAGCGACTCAACAGGGACTCCAACAGGCATTCAGCCGTGGGAGAAAACTACCTGTACAGGTGTGTCATCAGGCCCTGGGGCCTTGCTTGGGTGGAATCAGATCTGTTCATCCCAAAGGTTGGAACCTTTATTCCACTCTGGATTCTCACCAGTCTTTGTTCGATTTACAATAAAATATAAAATAAAAAGGAAACAGTTTAGACAAGTTTAGAATTCATTCTTTTCCTGCTTTGTGTTTACAACTCTCTCGGTTGCTAAGCAACAGAGCGTCCCTCGGCAGCCAATGAGGAAGCAGCCCATGAATTCGAACACAGCCTGTGTGTGTCTCTTTAATGTGTGCCGCTCCGCCCCTCGCGCTCAGTGCGCCTCGCGCCTCTTCCTCCTCATGGCTGCTGCTCCTCTCTCTCCTCTCTACCTGGGCCTGGACTTCAGCACCCAGCAGGTAAAGCAGAACCTCACCCGCTCCGCTTCCGGTTCCGGTTCCCTGTGTTTGTGTGGAGTCAGGACCGCGCGCCGCGCGGCGGAATGTCGGTCCAACTGCGCATGCGCGGATGGATATTATCAGCAGACTGGTTTGGTTGAGTCCAGCCTCCGTTCTGCTGAGAACCTTCAGGTTCTGGTTCTAAAGAGAGCCGGAGGTCTGGAAGGTTCCACCAGACCCCCCCCCCCCCACAGGGGGAAGTGGACTTTAACCCACAGCAGGTTAATGAACACCTGAGCCGGACTCTGACCCTCAGTCTGGTTGGTGAAGGGGCGGATTTAGGAAATGTGGGGCCCTGGGTAGGGTGACCAGACGTCCTCTTTTTCCCGGAACTTGGGGGTCAGCTCCGGGACCAGGAACCCCCGTAGGCAGGGAGGCAGCGGGGGTCGGGTGCAGCTATCTGTGTTCAGAGCGTTTTCGGTCCATGTTTTTTCCTCTCTCCATTGTCCCGCCTCTCGGTGTGACGTCATTGGATCTGTAGCTCTGAGACATCTGATTGGTGGTTGCATTTCACTGCATATAAAGTCGCTACATGGAGGAGGAGAGAAACAGCAGCACTCAGTGTATGGCAAGCCGTTTTAACATAAATTCGGCTGCTCCACCTTTACATTCAAGATATCTCAAATTATTTTATGACTAGACGTTTTAGTGATTTAAGATATCTCTAAATATATTTTGACTAGTCAAAATTCCTATTCGGGATATCTCTAATTACATTCTGACTAGTCGAAATGACGTCAGATTTACCATTAACTTGTTTGGAGACGTCAATTTAAGATATCTAGAATTAATTACTGACTATCTGAAATACACATTTCAGATATCTACAATTAAATTACGACTAGTCATAAAGGAAATTGAAGATATCTCGATTTTAGTTTTGACTAGTCATAATTCTAATTAAAGATATCTCAAATGCCACCATATTTCAAGATATCTTAAATGTATTTTAGGATAGGAGATATGCAGTTTTGACTAGTGAAAACTCAATTATAGATATCTTAAAAGCAAATAATGACTAGACAAAACAAATTTAAAGATATCTTGAATTGTAATTTCGACTATTCGAAATTCCTTTTAAGATATCTCTAAATGAATTAAAGATATCTTGAATTATTCAGCTTTTCCATTAAAGATATCTTAAATTATTCAGCTTTTCCATTAAAGATATATTAAATTGACATTCTGACTAGTCAAAATGACATCAGTGATATCTTGCCATAAATCAAAAACGTCAGAGATTTGCGTAGCGTTTTGGCGGACAGGTGTTAGCCTTGCTAGCTAATTGATTGTGCTATTCAGCGGTCCACAATAGCTGCGCTCAATTTGCAGGCTGCGTTCTTCGAAGGACCCAGCCTACCCAGCCTTAGGAGGACCCAGGAGGATGCTCCGAAGGCTCCGATGGCTGGGATATGGAAATTTTTATTTTATTTTTTATTTACTTATTATTGGAGGAGGAGAGTCGGCTTTGACGGCTTCGGCGGCAGCAAAACCGTCGACGGATTTTTCTCAGGCTGGGAGAGCGCAGTGGAGAGGTAACATTTACATGTTATTATTTTCCCCCACAGGGGCCTGCTAATGATCAGAATATACCAGCTATTAAACAAACGTTTGTCAGCAGATTGACGAATATGTTTATCAAATTTTAGATTCATTTGTATGACTTGGTATAAGCTTGTTTGTAACTTTAGTAATTTGAATTGCATAGTTAAATGTGTACAAACCCTGTAAATAACTGACTTAAATCACTACTTTCACTATCACTAATGTTGTGTTGAGAACCCAAACTGTGTTAGATTGAGAAATAAATCATTATTTGTCTAAATTATCCCCTTACTGCCTGATTTTATTTGCAATTATATAACAAAAACAGAAAACAGAAAAAAAAATCTAAATCTAAAAACGAAAGAAAAAAAAGTTAAATAGTGGATCTAGATTAGGTAAAATAAAATTTCTAATAATTCATGTAGCAAAGATAATGAAAAAAGATAGATGACTGAATTAAAAAAAAAAATTTTTGTCTCCTTTTTTCTACAGGTCATAATGGCATGTGCTGTCCTGCACAACATCTGCCTGGGAGCCCGTGACCCCCCAGATGATGTCCCACTCGCAGTTAGAAGACTCCAAGCTCATCTGTGTGGCATCCCATCCCATCCAGTCCAGCAGCACCACCAGGGACTCCTGCTCAGTGACAATTGTGTATATATATATATGTTCTCAAGTAATAATTATTGTATATCTTCCGTAAATAGTAGTAGTTAATTTTAAAATCTAATGTAGTTAAAAATGTTTTTAATAGTTTATTGTAAATACTTGCTTCTCTAAAAAATAAACTGATGTTGTCACTGAGAAGTTGTTCTAAGTTTACTTAACTTCTTACACCCTCGGGGGGAATAAATAAATTTCCGCCTGACAAAAACACACAAAAGTAAATAACGTATAGCCTCAAAGCTATTAGATTTAAGAAGAAACTTTTGGTACCTCTGTAAAGGTAAGATGTCATAGAATGGTTTTCTGGTGTCAGCACCATTGTAGCTTTGACCCTGCCTGAAATATTAGGGACAAAATATTTTGCATTTTTTGAACCTCGCCAAAATTTTCTTTGAAATAAACATTGCAAAACACTATCAAAATATTATTTATAGCACAAAAAAGTAGTACAGACTTTTAAATCTAAATGTTGTGTAAAAATATACCAAATTTGGACTCATGAATCATATTTATTTTAGAATGGTATTAGTGAGAAATTTCTTAGGCGGAGAGGCCATTTTGGCACATTTATCCAAAAATGTCACCAAACTGTGCCAAATGTGTTTTTTACATCAATACTGGGGGTTTGTTAAAATTACGAGGTCACGTAGCAGCTGGACCCACCGGTGGGTCCGTAGGGTTCAAGGGGTTAAATTGTAAAGAAGTGATGAAACAGATAATGTAAAAAGTTTAAAAGACACACCGACAACAATAACTTTTATAAACAATTTAATAATTTAATTTAACAATAACAGCAACACAGAACCTCAACTTGTAAAAGACAAAACAAAACAAAAAATCAACATCTGTCCACCATCCTCTCCAATAAATGAAATAATCTGTCCATCCTTTCCCTCCTCCCTCTGCCATCTCATATCCTCCCTCATTAAGTCAACCATCTCGTCTCTCCTTCTTCTCTTCCTCCTTTCCCTCCTCTCTCATCCTCATTCTCTTCACCCTGATGCTGCTCAGCCTCTGCAGCACCTGGCCCTGGTGTGTCCTCAGGGATGGAGGCAATTAGGACAGGTGAGTTTAACAGAGGGCCTCTGTCCTAATACCTCATCCATGAGGACAAACCAGGGCCAGGTGGCAGCAGTAGGGTTCCCACTGACCCCCTGCTCTGTCTCTGGATCTTTGCATTCCTAAAGTGGAGGAAAACAATTTGTGTCAACAGATGCTTTTTTCTGTAGTGTTTGTTTAAAGCTAGAAAAAAGGAGTGTTTCATGAACTGGATGGATTGATGAAATTCTACAGAAAAAGACTACTTTGGAATGATAACCTGGAGAGGAATTTTTTCAAGCTTACTAAAAGTGTTTTAATGTAATATTATATTCATTATTGGAAAATGATTTATTCACAAGTGAAGATTCTTTAAAATGTCTCACAATTTCCAAGCAAAACGTTTTCATGACTTAAGTTACTGTAAAATAAAGAATCCTTCAGGTCTTCAGATTTTATAGCAGTATACTTTAGCTAAACCCCTGTGTTACTTGTTTTATTTTGTTTTTCTTTTTTTCAATTTTTTCCTTTTGATTCTTTAAAAGTTTTTGTCTGTTTAAGTTTATAGTTTTTTATCTTATAAAAACCATTATGGATTGCATCTGTTCAATTGTACTTTTCTGCTGTTTGAAAAAGTATTTTGAATTTGTTTTTCAATAAAATAAAATAAAAAGAAAATCTAAGTGTGAATCAGACATGAAGCGGAGGTGCGCTTTTATTTTCAGAGGAGCTGAAGGAGGGTGCTGTAATGCTTTGTGCCATCTAGCAAGTCAAAATCAAAAGCTAGTTGGCTTTACTATAATTTCCGTAGAGGCAGAAAGCTTTACCACAGTATTAAAAACTGCATCTGGTTATTACCTGAACCGGCCCGGGCTGCCGAATATTCATTGTTTCAGATCGGACATGGGTCGATATTAACACTTTCAGCTCCTCTAAGCCGTTTTAAGTGCGTTGTGTGTGTCGGCAGAAAGTTGATCAGAAATTCTTTGCAAATTCCGCAAGCATTCTTCAAGAATGCTTTTTTTCTCGCTCTCCACATAACCCAGAATGAAAAACTCTTTCGATATTGTGGCATTTTCTCACAATTTTGTCCAAAACTGCCAGCACCAGTAGTGCACCAGTAGTGCTTAGTACAGCCAATAAGAGGCTTACACGCAATCTCTTACTTCAGATATCTAAAATTGTAATACTGACTAGGCATAATTACGTTCGAGATATCTTAAATTATAATTACCGATGTGTGACGCTTTAAATGAGGAATCCGGTGACGTAATTTGAGATATCTTGAAAGGAATTTTGACTAGTCAAAATGTGATTGAAGATATCTTGAATTATTATTCTTCCTAATCAGATTGTAAATAGAGATATCTTAAATTACTGTTCCGGATAGTCAAAATGTGGTTTTGTCTAGTCAAAAAGTATTTTAAGATATCTGGAACGTAATTATGGATAGTCAGACGAAACCGAATTTATGTTAAAACGGCTTGCCATACTCAGTGAATATTAACCAGCAGCTGCTTCTATGTTTAAGGAAAAGTTAGAGATGCCACCGAAAACTCATCTGTTTGTTAGAAATATGGAGCTTTATCAGCTAAAAACTGCTACAGGTTATAAGTTTATACAAGTTAATAATATAACGCAAGAATCTTAATAAAACTTAGTTTTAATGTTGTGTTCTTCTTTACTAGTTAAAGAAAGCGTCTCAGAGGATCATGACTCCCAGTTCCAGGTTAAAATGAACATGTTTTCTTATTGAACAGACAGAATCTGTCATGATTGGTTCTCTATAGTGACCCAATGATGCAGAACACCACTAGACGGAAACAGGTTGAAAGGTTTAACGGAGTTTATTTATATCAAGCACAATGAAACGAGTTCTGGTCCTGGGAGACTGGTACACCGGAGTCTGTGGGGGACAGTTTAGTTAGCGGAGCACTTAGGAACTTGTCTTTAGGATTGTTTCTGGCATGTACCTTGAGGGTCCTTGAATAAGGCTTGGAGAGGAAGGTTGTTGGAACTGGAGAAGGTTTGGTTGCAGAGTCCGCAAGCTGTTTCAGCGTCTTGCTTCTCAGGAGGGAGCAGACCTTGGGTTTGAGTTTCCAGCTCTTGGTCCAGAGCTGCATGGGAAACCAGAGGGAGTCTTCAGGTTTGGCTCAGAGGGCAGGCTCGGCAGGTTAAGCTCTTCTAGAGCTTCGCGGGATAAAAACTGGTTTCCTGGAAAGACAGAGACAACGTTAGAATCCAGCTTGGATTCAAAAGGTTCTCAGAGGTTCTAGGCTTAGGTGCTAACCAACTGGATCAACACTGCGGCGTTGAGGCAAGGTCTGAAGACAGCTTAAGTAGTGGATCCTCTGATGATGGTAACGAGCAGCAGCTGTGCAGGAGGCTCTGCTCAGGAGGATCCATGGCGGACTCTGCTGGAGAAGGGTGGAACTTCTCCAGCCTCCAACAGAATCAGCCTGCAGAGCTTCTACAGATCTAGAAATTTACTTTCTAGCATCATTATATTAGTAAAGAGGTGCATAAATCTTTTTAAACAGAGAGAAGCAGGGAGAGCTGCAGGTTTAAAGGGGAAACACCTTTAATTACCTGAAATCGTAATTCTAGGGATGCATGATTTATCGCTTTTGGCATCAGAATCTAACGTTACTGGATATAACCTAACGGAATATCTTCAGAACGGCTCCAAATGACACTAAACTAAAAAAAAAACAGAATTTTTCTTTAACCAAAAGATTGGTTGAACACATAACTTCCAACCAGATTAAAACCAAAAACTGGAAAAACTATGATTTTTAAATAAAATGACTAAAACCTTTCATTTTGCTCATTATTTGCACAAACCTCCACCGTCTGCTTGAGCTTATTTCTATAAAATAGCAGAAAAACTGAACCTTAAAGGATTTTTTGCTTCTAAGACATTTTACACAAAAAAAAAACTTCCAAACGATTTGGTTATACAGACCAATCATGAACTATTTCAAAGGAATTAAATAGAAAAAAAATCCCAGATTCTATTACTAACCGTAGTTCTGCTTTCCACCAGTAGGTGGTGACATGTTCACTGTGGGGAACTAGTCGCCATTAATGAGGGGAGGGAACAGTTAGCGTCACATCTGATTGATCTGTTGCTCTGTTGGTTCTGCAGCTGAAGGTTGTCGCCATCGATGGCGACCTCAGCGTGGTCCATCAGGACGCCGTCCAGTTCGACTCTGAGCTGCCCCACTACAGGTAACACCAGGCAGGTTTTATTCTGAAAGAGCCTGGCTTTTATTTTGAAATCTGATTTTGTTCAGGACTCGCGGTGGAGTTCATATCCATGCTGACAAACTGACCGTCACCTCACCGGTGCTCATGTGGGTCCAGGTGAGACGCCGCCAGATGGTTTAACTGCACCAGTGAGTGTTCTGTCTCCTGATTGGCTGTCTGACCTGTCCGTCACCAGGCTCTGGACCTGCTGCTGGACAAGATGAAGAGGGCTGGGTTTGACTTCTCCAGGGTGGAAGCGTTATCGGGCAGCGGACAGGTGAGAGCTCAGGTCCTGAGATAGAAACTGAAGGATTGGACTAGAAGCAGATAAAGTTTATTAAAGCTCATTGACTCTTCAGCAATCCCTCACACTAAGCATGCTTGTAGCGACAGTGGAGAGGAAAAACTCCCTTTGAACAGGAAGAAACCTCCAGCAGAACCAGGCTCAGTGTGAGCGGCCATCTGCTGAGGCCCACTGGGGTTCAAGGAGAAAGAAGCAGACATAGAAAAAGAAGCATAGATACAAAAATCCAGCCCAGGAAAACCGGATCCTTGGAGGAGGCAGCCTCTGAAATCAAACACAGCCTTTATGGTTCAGGTTGGGGTCTGGGGTGAAGACGTCCGGGTCGGGTTCAGAACCGTGGAGTTCTGGGGTGAAGACGTCCGGGTCGGGTTCAGAACCGTGGAGTTCTGGGTAGAAGACGTCCGGGTCGGGTTCAGAACCGTGGAGTTCTGGGGTGAAGACGTCCGGGTCGGGTTCAGAACCGTGGAGTTCTGGGTAGAAGACGTCCGGGTCGGGTTCAGAACCGTGGAGTTCTGGGGTGAAGACGTCCGGGTCGGGTTCAGAACCGTGGAGTTCTGGGTTGAAGATGTCTGGGTCGGGTTCAGAACCGTGGAGTTCTGGGGTGAAGACGTCCGGGTCGGGTTCAGAACCGTGGAGTTCTGGGTTGAAGATGTCTGGGTCGGGTTCAGAACCGTGGAGTTCTTGGGTGAAGACGTCCGGGTCGGGTTCAGAACCGTGGAGTTCTGGGTAGAAGACGTCTGGGTCGGGTTCAGAACCGTGGAGTTCTGGGGTGAAGATGTCTGGGTCGGGTTCAGAACTGCGGAGTTCTGGGTTGAAGACGTCTGGGTCGGGTTCAGAACCGTGGAGTTCTGGGGTGAAGACGTCTGGGTCGGGTTCAGAACCGTGGAGTTCTGGGTAGAAGACGTCTGGGTCGGGTTCAGAACCGTGGAGTTCTGGGTAGAAGACGTCTGGGTCGGGTTCAGAACCGTGGAGTTCTGGGGTGAAGACGTCTGGGTCGGGTTCAGAACCGTGGAGTTCTGGGTTGAAGACGTCTGGGTCGGGTTCAGAACCGTGGAGTTCTGGGGTGAAGATGTCTGGGTCGGGTTCAGAACCGTGGAGTTCTGGGTAGAAGACGTCTGGGTCGGGTTCAGAACCGTGGAGTTCTGGGGTGAAGACGTCTGGGTCGGGTTAAGAACCGTGGAGTTCTGGGGTGAAGACGTCTGGGTCGGGTTCAGAACCGTGGAGTTCTGGGGTGAAGACGTCTGGGTCGGGTTCAGAACCGTGGAGTTCTGGGTAGAAGACGTCTGGGTCGGGTTCAGAACCGTGGAGTTCTGGGTTGAAGATGTCTGGGTCGGGTTAAGAACCGTGGAGTTCTGGGTTGAAGACGTCTGGGTCGGGTTCAGAACCGTGGAGTTCTGGGGTGAAGATGTCTGGGTCGGGTTCAGAACCGTGGAGTTCTGGGGTGAAGACGTCTGGGTCGGGTTCAGAACAGTGGAGTTCTGGGTTGAAGACGTCTGGGTCGGGTTCAGAACCGTGGAGTTCTGGGGTGAAGACGTCTGGGTCGGGTTCAGAACCGTGGAGTTCTTGGTTGAAGACGTCTGGGTCGGGTTCAGAACCGTGGAGTTCTGGGGTGAAGACGTCTGGGTCGGGTTCAGAACCGTGGAGTTCTGGGTAGAAGACGTCTGGGTCGGGTTCAGAACCGTGGAGTTCTGGGGTGAAGACGTCTGGGTCGGGTTCAGAACCGTGGAGTTCTGGGTAGAAGACGTCTGGGTCGGGTTCAGAACCGTGGAGTTCTGGGTAGAAGACGTCTGGGTCGGGTTTAGAACTGTGGAGTTCTTGGGTGAAGACGTCCGGGTCGGGTTCAGAACCGTGGAGTTATTGGTAGAAGACGTCTGGGTCGGGTTCAGAACCGTGGAGTTCTGGGTAGAAGACGTCTGGGTCGGGTTTAGAACCGTGGAGTTCTGGGTAGAAGACGTCCGGGTCGGGTTTAGAACCGTGGAGTTCTGGGTAGAAGATGTCTGGGTCGGGTTCAGAACCGTGGAGTTCTTGGGTGAAGACGTCCGGGTCGGGTTCAGAACCGTGGATTTCTGGGTTGAAGATGTCTGGGTCGGGTTCAGAACCGTGGAGTTCTGGGGTGAAGACGTCTGGGTCGGGTTCAGAACCGTGGAGTTCTGGGTAGAAGACGTCTGGGTCGGGTTTAGAACTGTGGAGTTCTTGGATGAAGACGTCCGGGTCGGGTTTAGAACCGTGGAGTTCTTGGGTGAAGACGTCCGGGTCGGGTTTAGAACCGTGGAGTTCTGGGGTGAAGACGTCTGGGTCGGGTTCAGAACCGTGGAGTTCTTGGGTGAAGACGTCCGGGTCGGGTTCAGAACCGTGGAGTTATTGGTTGAAGACGTCTGGGTCGGGTTCAGAACCGTGGAGTTCTGGGGTGAAGACGTCTGGGTCGGGTTCAGGACCGTGGAGTTCTGGGGTGAAGACGTCTGGGTCGGGTTAAGAACCGTGGAGTTCTGGGGTGAAGATGTCTGGGTCGGGTTCAGAACCGTGGAGTTCTGGGGTGAAGATGTCTGGGTCGGGTTCAGAACCGTGGAGTTCTTGGTTGAAGACGTCTGGGTCGGGTTCAGAACCGTGGAGTTCTGGGTAGAAGACGTCTGGGTCGGGTTCAGAACCGTGGAGTTCTGGGGTGAAGACGTCTGGGTCGGGTTCAGAACCGTGGAGTTCTGGGTTGAAGACGTCTGGGTCGGGTTCAGAACCGTGGAGTTCTGGGGTGAAGATGTCTGGGTCGGGTTCAGAACTGTGGAGTTCTGGGTAGAAGACGTCTGGGTCGGGTTCAGAACCGTGGAGTTCTGGGGTGAAGACGTCTGGGTCGGGTTAAGAACCGTGGAGTTCTGGGGTGAAGACGTCTGGGTCGGGTTAAGAACCGTGGAGTTCTGGGGTGAAGACGTCTGGGTCGGGTTCAGAACCGTGGAGTTCTGGGGTGAAGACGTCTGGGTCGGGTTCAGAACCGTGGAGTTATTGGTAGAAGACGTCTGGGTCGGGTTCAGAACCGTGGAGTTCTGGGGTGAAGACGTCTGGGTCGGGTTCAGAACCGTGGAGTTCTGGGTTGAAGACGTCTGGGTCGGGTTCAGAACCGTGGAGTTCTGGGGTGAAGACGTCTGGGTCGGGTTCAGAACCGTGGAGTTCTGGGGTGAAGACGTCTGGGTCGGGTTCAGAACCGTGGAGTTCTGGGGTGAAGACGTCTGGGTCGGGTTAAGAACCGTGGAGTTCTGGGTTGAAGACGTCTGGGTCGGGTTCAGAACCGTGGAGTTCTGGGGTGAAGACGTCTGGGTCGGGTTCAGAACCGTGGAGTTCTGGGGTGAAGACGTCTGGGTCGGGTTCAGAACCGTGGAGTTCTGGGTTGAAGACGTCTGGGTCGGGTTCAGAACCGTGGAGTTCTTGGTTGAAGACGTCTGGGTCGGGTTCAGAACCGTGGAGTTCTTGGTTGAAGACGTCTGGGTCGGGTTCAGAACCGTGGAGTTCTGGGGTGAAGATGTCTGGGTCGGGTTCAGAACCGTGGAGTTCTGGGTAGAAGACGTCTGGGTCGGGTTCAGAACCGTGGAGTTCTGGGGTGAAGATGTCTGGGTCGGGTTCAGAACCGTGGAGTTCTGGGTTGAAGACGTCTGGGTCGGTTTCAGAACCGTGGAGTTCTTGGTTGAAGACGTCTGGGTCGGGTTCAGAACCGTGGAGTTCTTGGTTGAAGACGTCTGGGTCGGGTTCAGAACCGTGGAGTTCTGGGGTGAAGACGTCTGGGTCGGGTTCAGAACCGTGGAGTTCTGGGGTGAAGACGTCTGGGTCGGGTTCAGAACCGTGGAGTTCTGGGGTGAAGACGTCTGGGTCGGGTTCAGAACAGTGGAGTTCTTGGTTGAAGACGTCTGGGTCGGGTTCAGAACCGTGGAGTTCTTGGTTGAAGACGTCTGGGTCGGGTTCAGAACCGTGGAGTTCTTGGTTGAAGACGTCTGGGTCGGGTTCAGAACCGTGGAGTTCTTGGTTGAAGACGTCTGGGTCGGGTTCAGAACCGTGGAGTTCTGGGTTGAAGACGTCTGGGTCGGGTTCAGAACCGTGGAGTTCTGGGGTGAAGACGTCTGGGTCGGGTTCAGAACCGTGGAGTTCTGGGGTGAAGACGTCTGGGTCGGGTTCAGAACCGTGGAGTTCTGGGGTGAAGACGTCTGGGTCGGGTTCAGAACCGTGGAGTTCTTGGTTGAAGACGTCTGGGTCGGGTTCAGAACCGTGGAGTTCTTGGTTGAAGACGTCTGGGTCGGGTTCAGAACCGTGGAGTTCTGGGGTGAAGATGTCTGGGTCGGGTTCAGAACCGTGGAGTTCTGGGGTGAAGATGTCTGGGTCGGGTTAAGAACCGTTGATGTTTTGACGCCCTGCCCTGTGAGTGGAGCGTGGCGCCGCAGGCGGTGGCGCCTTGGTTTTGACTGTGATGTTCCTCCTCAGCAACATGGCGGCGTGTTCTGGAAGAAAGGAGCCGCTCAGACTTTGGCCCGCCTGGACCCGGGTCAGAACCTCTACCAGCAGTTGCAGGTGTGTGTCTCCAGCGTGTGTGTGTGTGTGTGTGTGTGTACCTGCTGATTCAGGTGTGGCGGTGTCTCCTCAGGACGGCTTCTCAGTGCAGGACAGTCCGGTGTGGATGGACTCCAGCAGCAGCCAGCAATGCAGGGACCTGCAGAAGGCAGCAGGGGGCGCTCTGAGGCTGGCAGAGATCACTGGATCCAGAGCCTACGAGGTCAGAGTCCCTCTGTCTGTCTCTCTCTCTGTCTGTCCTCCTTTCGGTCTAAATGTCCTCCTCTCTGTCCCTCTGTCTGTCCCTCTGTCTGTCCTCCTTTCGGTCTAAATGTCCTCCTCTCTGTCTGTCCCTCTGTCTGTCTGTCTCTCTCTCTGTCTGTCCGTCTGTCTGTCTCTCTGTCTGTCTGTCCTCCTTTCGGTCTAAATGTCCTCCTCTCTGTCCCTCTGTCTGTCCCTCTGTCTGTCCCTCTGTCTGTCTGACGCCTCATTCCGTGTTTTTCTGCAGCGCTTCACAGGAAACCAGATCTCCAAACTTCTGCAGACCCGTTCGGACCAGTTCCAGGACACAGAGGTTGGAGCTCCGCCTCCAGGCCCCGCCCCTTTAGATGTCGTCTCACCTGCCTGACAGCTGCGTGTTTCTGTGTGTCTGATATTAGAGGATCTCGTTGGTGAGCAGCTTTGCAGCCTCTCTCTTCCTCGGTGGTTACGCCGCCATCGACTACAGCGACGGTACGCTCCGATCTCCGTGGATCAACCTTCCGTCCTTCAGCTCCTTGGTAAACAGTAACTGATGCTTCATCAGGTTCTGGGATGAATCTGCTGGACATCCGGGCCAGAAACTGGTCTCAGATCTGCCTGGACGCAACAGCTCCTGACCTGGACCGACTGCTAGGAGCTCCTCTTCCCTCCACGGCTGTACTGGTAACTGGTTTTACTGGGTTGTTGTGGTCGCTGCTGGTCCCCAGGTGTCCTAACTGGACCCTGCTGGTCCTGCTTGGTGTTCCAGGGTTCTGTCTCCTCATACTTTGTGCATCGGTTTGGTTTCTCTGAGAGCTGCCGGGTGGTGGCGTTCACCGGAGACAATCCAGGTGGGAAAGTTTCCATTAGTTAACATCAGACTGCTGCTACCGCTGCCTGACCACTAGATGGTGCTGCTGCTCTCCAGAGCCTCAGCTTCCTGCAGGAATGAAGAAAGCTTCAATAAATTAAAACCATTAAAATGATCTGAATTATTAAAATCACATGTTCATTCTAGTAATGAACTGATAAGGAATAAATGATATTTAAAAATCATATAAATTAATAAATACATTTATTAATTTATAGACAGAAATTGAAATAAAGGGCTAAAGCGTCGCTCTAAGCTGTCTAGTTTGCCCGACAATGAATGGAATAAAAACTAAAATAAATGAAAAGTGTTGATGATCCAGTAAACATGGCAGACCGTCGTCATGGTGACCTGTCGCTGTCTCTCCTCCCCAGCATCTCTGGCTGGAATGAGGCTCCATCAGGGCGACATGGCTGTGAGTCCCCCTCTGTCCTCCTCATCCACCTGCCGCCTTCGGCCTCTCTGAGTCCCGGTCTGTTTGCAGGTCAGTCTGGGGACCAGCGACACGGTGTTCCTGTGGCTCCAGGAGCCCCGGCCGGCCCTCGAGGGCCATGTCTTCTGCAACCCTGTGGAGCTGCAGGCCTACATGGCCCTGCTGTGGTACAGAAGTAGACCTGATGTTTGGAGCTGCTGCTACTTCCTGAAAAACATGAATCCTTCAAAATAAAAGTCTCCTTCCTGTTTGTTTCAGCTTTAAGAACGGGTCCCTGACCAGAGAGCGGGTCCGGAACCAGTGTGCTGCAGGGTCCTGGGAAGCTTTCTCTGATGCTTTGAAGGAGACGCCGCTCGGAAACAACGGGAACATCGGTGGAAATTCTTCACTTCTGTCCTTTATTTATCGTCCTCTGTCCCCTGTCCTCCCTGACGGCGTCTTTGTCTCCTCCAGGCTTTTATTTTGACACCATGGAGATCACTCCTCCCGCCGTTGGCGTCCATCGCTTCGACTCTAACGACCGTGAGGTCAGTCCATGAGGGTCCGCTGCAGCTCAGATGTCCCTCCTGTCTCTTACCCGTCTCTGGATCTTGTCCAGGTGTCCCAGTGGAGTCCTGAGGTGGAGATCAGGGCTCTGGTTGAGGGTCAGTTTCTGTCCCGCAGGCTCCACGCCGAGCGACTCGGATACTCCATCGGTAAGACTAAGCTTTGCCTCGTGTCTCCTCTGGATCGAGGTCACATGAATGTCCCCTGATGAAAAGGTCCTGATGTCTGGGCCCGTTAGATCAGAGATGAGTCCAGGAGAACCCAGAACCAGCTGCTTTACTGTCGGTACCAACAGAAACCTGGCTGTATGAACTCTCTGTCTGTGTTTCAGTTCCAGGAACCAGAGTTCTGGCCACCGGAGGAGCTTCTGCCAACCAGCAGATCCTGCAGGTCCATTTTACAGCTTTTATAGGAGGTTCTGTTGATCAAACCGTCGACTGATGAATCAAATGGACTCTGATCCAGGACCGGTTTGGACCGGATGGACCGGATGGTTCTGTGCTCTATAGAACCGCAGAGAAGCAGCAGGATGATTCTGATGTTCTGCTTTCTTCAGGTTCTGTCTGACGTGTTCAATGCCCCGGTTTACACCATCGACCTGTCCGACTCCACCTGCTTAGGCTCCGCCTACCGAGCTCTGCATGGTGATACGCTCGTAGTCCTTCTACTACAGCTGATAGTCCTTCCTCTGAAGCTCTTTGCTCTGTTTGCAGGTCTGGTGGCAGATTCTGGTGTCTCCTTCCTGGAGGTTGTGAAGAAAGCTCCGGAACCTCAGCTGGTCTGCACCCCCCACCCTACAGCACAGCAGGTTAGACCTTTAGAACCTTCTGGAACCCGCCCCCCTCTACAGGTCATTAGAAGGAACTGCCCACAGCAGCTTCAGCTCTGAATTTGCCTTCAGACTGAGACCAAGGAGAGGGACAGAAGCTGCAGGAGGAACGACGGAGCGAGACAGTCAGGACTCAAAGGAGAGTCACTAACCTCTGATCCTGTGGAGGGGAAGGGATTTATCTGTGGAAAGGTTGTTAGATGAGAGGAGTGATGCTGAGGGCTCTGCTGCACAGCTGCTGGACGGTAAATATCACTATATGGAACATTTACTGATTTAGCCCGTCTGTAGCAGCCAGGGCTAATGTTAGCCCGTCTGCAACAGCCAGGGCTAACGTTAGCCCGTCTGCAACAGCCAGGGCTAACGTTAGCCCGTCTGCAACAGCCAGGGCTAACGTTAGCCCGTCTGCAGCATCCAGGGCTAACGTTAGCCCGTCTGCAGCATCCAGGGCTAACGTTAGCCCGTCTGCAGCGGCCAGGGCTAAAGTTAGCTCGTCTATAGCGGCATCCAGGGCTAACGTTAGCCCGTCTGCAGCAGCCAGGGCTAACGTTAGCCCGTCTGCAGCATCCAGGGCTAAAGTTAGCTCGTATGTAGCGGCATCCAGGGCTAACGTTAGCCCGTCTGCAGCAGCCAGGGCTAACGTTAGCCCGTCTGCAGCGGCCAGGGCTAAAGTTAGCTCGTCTATAGCGGCATCCAGGGCTAACGTTAGCCCGTCTGCAGCAGCCAGGGCTAACGTTAGCCCGTGTGCGGCATCCAGGGCTAACGTTAGCCCGTCTGCAGCAGCCAGGGCTAACGTTAGCCCGTGTGCGGCATCCAGGGCTAACGTTAGCCTGTGTGCGGCATCCAGGGCTAACGTTAGCCTGTGTGCGGCATCCAGGGCTAACGTTAGCCTGTGTGCGGCATCCAGGGCTAACGTTAGCCCGTCTGCGGCAGCCAGGGCTAACGTTAGCCCGTGTGCAGCATCCAGGGCTAACGTTAGCCCGTCAGCAGCCAGCCAGGGCTAACGTTAGCCCGTCTGCAGCAGCCAGGGCTAACGTTAGCCCGTGTGCAGCATCCAGGGCTAACGTTAGCCCGTCAGCAGCCAGCCAGGGCTAACGTTAGCCCGTCTGCAGCAGCCAGGGCTAACGTTAGCCCGTGTGCAGTATCCAGGGCTAACGTTAGCCCGTCTGCAGCAGCCAGGGCTAATGTTAGCCCGTGTGCAGCATCCAGGGCTAACGTTAGCCCGTCAGCAGCCAGCCAGGGCTAACGTTAGCCCGTCTGCAGCAGCCAGGGCTAACGTTAGCCCGTGTGCAGTATCCAGGGCTAACGTTAGCCCGTCTGCAGCGGCCAGGGCTAACGTTAGCCCGTCTGCAGCGGCCAGGGCTAACGTTAGCCCGTCTGCAGTGGCCAGGGCTAACGTTAGCCCGTCTGCAGTGGCCAGGGCTAACGTTAGCCCGTCTGCAGTGGCCAGGGCTAACGTTAGCCCGTCAGCAGCCAGCCAGGGCTAACGTTAGCCCGTCTGCAGCAGCCAGGGCTAACGTTAGCCCGTGTGCAGCATCCAGGGCTAACGTTAGCCCGTCAGCAGCCAGCCAGGGCTAACGTTAGCCCGTCTGCAGCAGCCAGGGCTAACGTTAGCCCGTGTGCAGTATCCAGGGCTAACGTTAGCCCGTCTGCAGCAGCCAGGGCTAATGTTAGCCCGTGTGCAGCATCCAGGGCTAACGTTAGCCCGTCAGCAGCCAGCCAGGGCTAACGTTAGCCCGTCTGCAGCAGCCAGGGCTAACGTTAGCCCGTGTGCAGCATCCAGGGCTAACGTTAGCCCGTGTGCAGCATCCAGGGCTAACGTTAGCCCGTCTGCAGCAGCCCTCTCTCTGCATAGCCGTGTGTGAAGAACCGCTGGCTCTGATGGAGGTTTGATTGTTTTATTTGGCAAAATGTTCATTTAATTTGTGTTTATCTGACTGTGTTCATTATTATTCCTCCACTAAATGAAAAAAGTCATAATTTATTATTATATAGAGACTATTAGTAACAGGAGGTGAAATGCGGCTCCAGACTAACTTTGGATGTGGTCCAGACTTTACTGGGTTCTAGTCAAGTACTCACATTCTAGTGAACAGAGAAACGGCCTGAATTTACCTGCAGCATCAGGTCAGGGGGGCGGGGCTTCCAGTAAGATGTAATCAGCCAACCGGAGCACATCATTCTTCTTCTGTTCCAGGTGTACAACCAGATGTTGAAACGCTTTGCACAGCTGGAGGAGAGGGTCCTGCAGAGGACTGAGCCGACCAATGAGAGCCGATCGTGATGATAAAGAATCCCAGGTTACCATGGCGACGGGTTTGGTTGTCTACCTGGCTGAATGACAACAGGAGGGAAACCAGCAGGACGATCAGACCTCTGCAGCCTGCAGGAGGAAACGGGTCCACAGCAACAGATCTCTGTCTCTTTTCTTTTTAAAAGAATAAAATCAGATTTTAATTCAACCCGGTTCTGACCAGTTGGTTCGTTTCTGTTGATCTATTACCAAGATGTTTAGAATTGATCTTTCTAAGCCTTAAATGGCCAAGCTCCATCTGATATCAGAGATCTGATTGTTCCTTATGTTCCTAACAGAGCACTTCGCTCTCAATCTGCAGGTTTACTAGTGGTTCCTAGAATTTCTAAAAGTAGAATGGGAGGCAGATCTTTTAGTTCTCAGGCTCCTCTCCTGTGGAACCAACTACCAGTTTTAGTCCGTGAGGCAGACACCCTGTCTACTTTTAAGGCTAGGCTTAAAACTTTCCTTTTTGATAAAGCTTCTAGTTAGAGTGGCGCAGGTTATCCTGATCTATCTCTATAGTTCTGCTGCTATAGGCTTAGACTGCTGGAGGACATAGGGACCCCTTTTTCATCATTCTGCTTCATTCTATCTCTATTCTCCCACTCTGCAGAATCTGTTAGTTCAATCTCTAACGTTCTGCTCTCTCTGCTTTTTCTCATAGTAGCTTCATCTGGTCTGTTCCTGTTTGGCTGTGACTCCATCCTGGAGAGAAATATCAGCTGTGCTGCTGCCATCAACACCTTTGTTTCTAGATGTTGGAGCTTGGCCTGTTTATGCTTCCATAAACAGGCCAGGCCTACTATTTATGCTTCCAGCATAAATAGTAGCTGAAATGAGACCAAACTTTCTCTGAGATTTTAATGTTGGCCTCCTTTTCCCGCCGCCGTCTGATGTAACCTGTTGACTTCTTCTTCATAGTTGCAATATTTCGGTAAAGCAGTGATTCTGTCTGTATTAATACCAGCTCATGCATCCATTTAAACCTGCATTTCCTGGATTTAACAATAAGGCAAGGGTCATGATTTCCCTCCTAAAGAAATAATGAAAAATTATCTCCTCTTCTAATCTCATTAATCCAACTGAAATCCTTGATATTTCTAAAGGAAAAGTCGCTCATATTCAGAATCCAAACTTCTGAAAGTTCTTTAAATCTGAAATGATTCCATCCTGTTCAATAAATGATCAGTGTTTTTAATTCAGAGTAATTTCCATGTGAATGTGCTTTACTGGAGGCATCCATGTTTGTCAAAGAACACTACTGCCACCTACTGGTTAGTGACGTCACGGTGCGGTATCAGAGTGGAGTTTTTTTCCACTTTTACCAGCTGCCATGCACGTGGGCATTGTCAGTTTCACTATAGCTCTGGTGAATTTCAATGGTGAAGTCCTCTGGAAATCTTCAATAATTGTTGTTGATCATCTTCATAATTTCTAATTTATCTTTAAATTATCGTCACTCTGCCAGTTTCTGATGGTCCTACTGGTTTTCCCATCATACTTCCAACCGTTTCCCAGTTTAAATCTCTAACTAAAAGGCACTTTTCTGCAGCTTTCACTATTATTGAGCACTACAGTTGATCACTTCTACTATAAATATTTCTTTTTAACAATCAATGGTTCCTCTGCAGAGGTTTTAAACTCATCATTTCCTCCACTGGTTTGGGTTTTTCTGACTGGGATTAGATTCTTTTTTCAGCTTCAGCAGAATTTATTCTGAGCTCTAATTTCATTTTTCTGATCTCTTCAGATCTTTTTCTCACTTCACATCCTGGATAAGCAGCGGAATGTTAGCAGTTACAGCATTTTAACTTCTCCAGCAGTTTTCCTTTCCATCCAGCTGTTGTGTGACCAGATGTTTGTTATTTAAAGCATCTCAGATGATTGAATAATTTTACATTCTAGCTCATGTAACCTATGCAAACCTTACTGGCTAATTGCTCCTCTTTAAATTCAATCATCACTGATAAACTGTCAAAGTTTTCTGCATTTCTTGTTGTTTTTAACCGTTTCCCTTCTTTTACTTTTGCATCACTGATCTTTTCTAGAATCTCTATTTCAGCTCCTTTTAGAGGACCTCCTCCCCTCCCTCCCCTGCTCCTCCTTTTGTTCTCCTCCAAGCTGCGCTGAACTCTCCTCCCTCCATCTTGCTGATGCGTCTCGCTTTGCCTCGCTGAGGCTCTGCAGTTTATTATCAGGTCTATAGAGGATTCTGGTTCTCCAGACTTCTACAAGTTTATCGATTGATTTTATTAACTGAACCAGATTCCAATCTGCAAAAGAGTCTCCCTGATTAACTAGTTTGAATCTGACTTTGTAATCATTTAGTTTTCCTGTAGAATTTCTAGATTGTTCAGTTGATCTCTGCTTTTTCTCATTTTTAATGCTACTCTTTTCCAATCTTCTTCGTTTTCACTATTTCCTTCTTCCATCCAACAACAATCACTTCCTGTTTCCCAGGACATTTCTCCAACTCTCGAAAAATGGCCGCTCCCAGTAACTCAGTTATTACGATGACAATTAATACTTTTATTTATTTTACAGATTAATGCTAAATTCATTTAATCACTGCGAATGTCTCAGTTTTAGGTATAAATAATGATTATTCCAGAATGACCAGACTTCTCCTTTAAATACCTTTTTATTATTGTTTTACAGAATTGCCTGTATTTATCATTTAGCATAAGGAAAACTAAACACTTTGATCTGTTTTGCAGATGATATTTCTTGTCTAATTGAAGACAGATTGTGTGAAGAGGATTGTCGGGTTCATAAAATGTAGGTTTTGTAAAAGAAGAAGTGAAATACACAATAATGGATATAATTCCTGCAGGAAGGAGAGACAGTTGAACCCCAGACTCCAGCGGTCTCCTCCTGGACCTCCTCTGCAGAGCGTTTATTAACAGAACATGGCGCATGGTTACAAACAGAGTATTGTTCTGACAGAACAACTGATCAGTTGATGAAGACGGAATGATGAAGCAGGATGGCCTCCTGACTGGATCAGGAGCATCGCCTCGCACAAACGTTTCATAAACAAACATTAATTTTATAATCATCACTGAATAAACCTGACAAGGATCTCATTGATGTCTTAGGAATTAAAACATTAGTCGTTTTAAACTGGATCATATTTTTACTGATTCTAAACAAATCTAAAGAGCTGAGCTTTAAACTGCGATGATAAAGGAACGATTTATAAATCATAATCATCTGTTTGATCTGAAAACATCTGAAATAAATGAAGCTTTTTGCAGAAACATTTCTTGTTTTTTTTTACTAATATAAATGTTATTAGGAAACTTTAATGAAATTAAAGTTTTTAAATCATTTCCTGCAGATGAATCTTCTTTTCTAAGTAATAATGATGTAAATCAGCGTCTCAGAGTCTGAAAGTTAAAGAGAAAATAAAAATGTTCATTTAGTCTCTGATCAGAATCAGATTCTTTCTTTATGAGATGAAGCTGATTTTCTTCATCAGTTCTTTAAACGTCAGATTTTATATTCCTGCATGACGGCGACCAGAGCGGGCCCCATAGTGGGACCTCAGGGCCCCTGTCCTGGAGGCCCCTGTCCTGTAGGGCCCCTGCCTTCTAGGGCCCCTGCCTTCTAGGGCCCCTGCCTTCTAGGGCCCCTGTCCTGTAGGGCCGCTGCCTTCTAGGGCCCCTGCCTTCTAGGGCCCCTGTCCTGTAGGGCCCCTGCCTTCTAGGGCCCCTGCCTTCTAGGGCCCCTGCCTTCTAGGGCCCCTGTCCTGTAGGGCCGCTGCCTTCTAGGGCCCCTGTCCTGTAGGGCCGCTGCCTTCTAGGGCCCCTGTCCTGTAGGGCCCCTGCCTTCTAGGGCCCCTGCCTTCTAGGGCCCCTGCCTTCTAGGGCCCCTGTCCTGTAGGGCCGCTGCCTTCTAGGGCCCCTGCCTTCTAGGGCCCCTGTCCTGTAGGGCCGCTGCCTTCTAGGGCCCCTGTCCTGTAGGGCCCCTGTCCTGGAGGGCCCTGTCCTCTAGGGCCCCTGTCCTCTAGGGCCCCTGTCCTGTAGGGCCCCTGCCTTCTTGGGCCGCTGCCTTCTAGGGCCCCTGTCCTGTAGGGCCCCTGTCCTGGAGGGCCCTGTCCTCTAGGGCCCCTGCCTTCTAGGGCCCCTGTCCTGTAGGGCCGCTGCCTTCTAGGGCCCCTGTCCTGTAGGGCCCCTGTCCTGGAGGCCCCTGTCCTGTAGGGCCCCTGCCTTCTAGGGCCCCTGCCTTCTAGGGCCCCTGCCTTCTAGGGCCGCTGCCTTCTAGGGCCCCTGCCTTCTAGGGCCCCTGTCCTGTAGGGCCGCTGCCTTCTAGGGCCCCTGTCCTGTAGGGCCCCTGTCCTGGAGGGCCCTGTCCTCTAGGGCCCCTGTCCTCTAGGGCCCCTGTCCTGTAGGGCCCCTGCCTTCTAGGGCCCCTGCCTTCTAGGGCCCCTGTCCTGTAGGGCCGCTGCCTTCTAGGGCCCCTGTCCTGTAGGGCCCCTGTCCTGGAGGGCCCTGTCCTCTAGGGCCCCTGTCCTGTAGGGCCCCTGTCCTCTAGGGCCCCTGTCCTGTAGGGCCCCTGTCCTGTAGGGCCCCTGTCCTGGAGGGCCCTGTCCTCTAGGGCATCTGTCCTCTAGGGCCCCTGTCCTGTAGGGCCCCTGCCTTCTTGGGCCCCTGCCTTCTAGGGCCCCTGTCCTGTAGGGCCCCTGTCCTGGAGGGCCCTGTCCTCTAGGGCATCTGTCCTCTAGGGCCCCTGTCCTGTAGGGCCCCTGCCTTCTTGGGCCCCTGCCTTCTAGGGCCCCTGTCCTGTAGGGCCCCTGTCCTGGAGGGCCCTGTCCTCTAGGGCCCCTGTCCTCTAGGGCCCCTGTCCTGTAGGGCCCCTGCCTTCTTGGGCCGCTGCCTTCTAGGGCCCCTGTCCTGTAGGGCCCCTGTCCTGGAGGGCCCTGTCCTCTAGGGCCCCTGTCCTCTAGGGCCCCTGTCCTGTAGGGCCCCTGCCTTCTTGGGCCCCTGCCTTCTAGGGCCCCTGCCTTCTTGGGCCCCTGCCTTCTAGGGCCCCTGTCTTGTAGGGCCGTCCTCCAGGAGAGGGGCCCAAGAAGGCAGGGGCCCTACAAGACAGGGGCCCCTGAGGGCCGACTTTGGGGATCCCTGTATTAGAACATAACTGAAAAGTCTGTCTGTTTGTGAGAAATCAAACGTTAATAATAAAAACAGAAACTAAACCGTCTTTAATATAAAGATTCTGAATCGGGTCCAAATGTTTCCTTTCAGCTGAATGAATTCTAACCGTTAGAGAAGAAGTTTAATCTATTCACACTGGAAAACATCTAGAAATATGTAAAATATTCCTAAATCATCTGATTCAGAATCCTGTTCTCTTTTCCAGAGGTTCTGGTTCTGTGGTCCAGTTCTACAGAACCTTCTGGTTCTGAAGGCTCAGTGTTACTCAGAACCTTCTGAACCTGTTTGGACCTGAGGAGGTGAGACAGGGCAGAACTTTAAAAGGTTCTGATGATTTGGAAAAACCAGGACCCAGAAAGACCAGAACCATCCAGGACCTGCTGCCTCTGGTCCTGTTCAGGAGCCATTTTGGACCCAGTTCAGCCTCTGTGTGCAGAACCCATCAAAGCAGCACTGAGAGGAACTCAACTTCCTGTTTGGACTATCAGAATAAAAGTCTGCGGTCGATCATGATTCCACTTTAGGAGGAGATGATTCTGACTTTGATCCATTTCATCTGTTGGAGAGAAACCAGAGAAGGTTCTGGAGCTTCAATCGGTGGAACCTTCCTCCTCCTCCTCTTCCTCCCCCCCTCCTCCTCCTCCTCGCTACTTTCTGGTCATTATAAAATAATTAATCTTGGCAGAGAATCCTGCCTTAATAGAAACTAAAAGATGAAATATGCAGCTAAACCTCCTTCAGAAGATAAATCTGTTTATTGTTGTTCAGCTGAGGTGCAGCCCCTCCCCCCTCCTCCATCTGTTTCTGAGCCTCACCCCTCAGTAGATCCCAGCAGAGCGCAGCTCTGACTCTCTGGCTTTTATTTTGAAACAGGAAGCTGGAGTCCCTGAGGAGGGCGGTGCAGCTTGACTCCGCTCCTCCTGCATGTCCCCAGCAGACCCTGCCAGGAGGCGCAGAGAGGAGCAGCGGACCGAGGAGCAGGGACAGCTTTACTGCTCTGGGGGCTGGGGGTCCAGGCAGCTCCTTAAATGTTGGAGGAGGACCAGGAGGACATCCGGAGAGGAGCAGGAGGAGCAGCAGAGAGCGCTGCCTCCACCTGAGGAGCAGAAGATGAGGCTGCTGGTGCTGCTGGTGGTGCTGCAGGGCGGAGAGTGTGCAGGTGAGGCTGAGAGCCGCTCCGCTGCAGGAGCATGGAGGAGCATGGAGGAGATCCTGCTGCTGACGGAGCAGCAGGAGGTTCTGTTGGTCTGACTGGAGCTTCAGGGACCGAACCCACTGCAGCAGGTTCCCACGGTCCCGAGTGGATTTAGGTTTCAGGGGAACCACAGAGTTTCTGTGTCCGCTCAGGTCAGCGCGCGCACGTGCGTCCAGTGTCCGATTCCTGAACTGAATGCGCGTGCACGCTCCATTGTCTGTTGATCAGGATCGATAATCGATCAGCAGGGCGCGCGCGCGCTTCATTCTTCTCTCGCATGACAGAGGATGCATGGCCGCGTGCACACGTCCGGACAGGGAGTCTGATGCGCATGCGCGCCCCCCATCTGTTCTCAGGTATGATGATGACGTGTTTGTTTTTAAGCACCTGTTCTATGAGGGGGGGTGGGTCAGAATCTCCTAACAGCTGCTTCCGGTTCTGATCTGCTGTGAGCTGAAAATAAAACCAAACTTAAATTAAAATCCGGAGATTTTCTGTTTTCTGGCAGAAATGTCTTTAAAGATCCATAAAACCCAGAAATATGACACCTAGAAGTCATCGCCTCAGAGGGAAGGTCCAGTTTCTGAAGGTTCTGGTTTAACGGATCGAACTAAAACCAGGAGAGAATTTATTTTGATGGTTTCAGTTTGTCTTTAACTAAATGCTCCGATTGAACCATCAGAACCAGAACCGTTTGGATCTTAGGTTCTGGTTCCGTCTGCAGGCTCCACCCTTCAGCTTCTTTCTGGGTCGGTTCTGATCCGCTCTGTTAGGTGTTCTTCTTCTCTCTGTGGCTCATGAGGTCCTGGGAACCAGAACCACAGCTGCTTCCTTCTCCATCCAGTTAAACCTCCATCCTGGGGGTTCTGACCCGGTCCAGCTGGACACATCTGGACCGGGTCGCTGGGCTGAAGTGAACCTGGGGTCATCATGGCCGCCCTCAGCAGAACCGGCCCTGATCCGGGCACCAGTCCGTTCTGGACGGGGCCACCGGGTTCTGCTTCCAGGTGAGACAGAATCAGAACTTCCTGAGGTTCTGGTTCTCTAGTTGCAGCAGAACCGGGTCGTTCCTCCATCTTTCTGGTCTCCCTCAGGTTCAGGTCTCAGAACCTGAAGGTCCATCAGATGTTCTTCATAGATCAAACCTCCGTTTGGTGCCGAGTTCTGGGTCCGGTTCTCCGGTTCTGCCTTGAGCCCGGGTGGTTCTGATGGATTCTCCTCCCTGCTAACGGACCCTCTAATGGAAAAGCTTATTCCGCTTCAGAACCGGTTCTGTGTTCCTCAGCTCTCAGGGACCACATCATAGAATAGAATAGAATAGAATTCCACTTTATTCTCCTCTGTCAGAAACACAAAGCCAGGAAATGAACTCTGCTGGTTCTGGATCCCAGCAGCAGGTGGGGGAGGGGGGAGACAGAGGGGCAATAAAAGGAGGGGGAGGGTCAGTGACAGTCCTAATCCTCTGCTGGTCCCTGTCCATTGGGTTGGACCCTTCCCCCGCCCCCACCTGCTGCTGATTGGTCAGCAGCGTCTGATCAGGTCATTGAAACTAAAACTGAGCCTTAGAAACAAAACCTTCACCTGTAGCTCTGACTCACCTGTTCTGGAGCTCATTTCTGAGGTTCCAAACTGACCGAGTGCTCAGCTAGCCGTTAGCTGCAGAAACGCTAACCTAGCTGGAAGCTAAAGATGGAAAATGTTTGAAAGCATCCTTCATAAAAAGACAAACCAGGATGAGAAATGAAGAAAACTGGAGGACAAATCGCTAATGCTAACTCTGCTAACGGTACCGTGCTACGATGTAAAAGATGGAGGGCGGCGTGGAAAACAGAGGAGGCCACCGAAGGTAGAGTTATCTTTGGAAGGGTCAAAGGTCACGCGGACCTGAGAGGTGGTAACTTTATCAAACCGCCGCAGACATGGCGGCGAACAGCAGCCATGTTGGGTCCTGGCCTGCTCAGGGAACCCTTCTGGTTCTCTTTGGAATCAGAACCAGAACCGTCTGCGGACCCGCTCTGAACCAGGAGCGTTTGGATCAGAACCGCGGTTCTGAACGGGTTCGGCCCGCCTCAGGCGTCCTCTGGTCCTCAGAAGGTCCATCTGCTGCACAGCTCAGATCTTTTTCTGGTTCTGCTGGAGGTTCTGCTGGGCTGCCCAGCTGGATGGAGCCGAATAAAAAACACTACATTACCCAGAAGGCTTTGCTCTCACAGCTGCAGCAACAGAAGTGTTGGTTCTGATTGATCTAAACTGGGTCTTTCTGTGGAAAGATGTTGAACCAGAGGCGAAGGGAACCAGGGGACTTCCAGAACCAAACAAGGTTCCACTTTAAGCCCAAACCAACCCGCCAAAATAAAAGCCTTTCCTTCCGATGTAAAGAATCAGAGGGAAGGAAACAGTTCAGGTTGGATCTTTAATGTCTGGTTCAATCAGACTTCTTTTATTGATCCATTCTGATGATCCGAACCAAACATCCTGAAAGTATCTGGTTCTAATCAAAATAACTGATGTAGTAAACAGTTTTATTTTTTTCAGTGTAGATTTATGTTTCAGGAGGTTCTGCTGATGTGAGAATCAGTTTGTTTTCCTGCTTTTCTGTCTTCAGTCAGAAGCAGAGCCGATTGTTCGGCTTCTGGACGTGTTTACTAACCTTGTGAGGACCTCCGTCTCTCATCTTGGCATCTTTTCAGGAGAGAAGAAGCAACAATTTAACAAAAACTTCTGGGTTCTGCATGAATGCAGTTAGTGAATCAGTGAGGAGGAGGCGTCAGTGGGTGCAGGAGGACCAAGCGGCGTGTTTAAGGAGGCGCGGCGGCGGCGTGTCGTCACGCTGTGAGCGGCGTTCCCAGGGTCTCTCCTCTCTAACGTATTCACTGAAACAATCGGCAGCAGATGCCTCTCTGACTCCGTCGCCGGGTGTGAGCGACCTCTGACCCCTCACAAAGCCTCCTGACGACCGGCGTTTTGCATCAGAAACAGACGCTGGGAGCCTGACGACACACTGGGGTCAGAGATCACGCTCTGCGGCACACATGCAGCTCAGACATGCTAATGTTTCTGCAGCTGTTCTCACACTCTGCAGCTGTCTGAGCGGCGGCGGCGGCGGCGGCGGCCCTGACTTTGACTAGGCCGCCGCCTTCAGTCCTGCTGGTGCAGATCTGCTGTATTTGGGTCACTGGTTCTGGTTCTGATCCAGTCTGGATGACATGGAGATCCTGGTCGTTTCCTGCGGCTCATTGAGCCCACATCATCAGCCCTCCCCCTCCGTGCCTTCTGCTCTGAAATCTTCCTCCAGCTGGAGGAGCTCATTCCTTCAGAGCTTCTGCTCCTCCCCAGACTAAACGGGCCCCTCAGGCTGCAGACGGATGGGGTCCAGGTTTACGGGGACGGGTCGTCAGAGTCCTGGACCCGCCCCGCTGGGATTGGATGGGCTGCGGCTTTGACCCCTGAATGATTGTGGGAGGTTTTTGTTCTGGGTTCTGGTGGAGCTGATGGATGACGGAGGCGGCGAAGGTCAGCTGTTCTCCCGCAGGTCGTCCATCTCCGCGGCGCTCATTAACGCCCGGGTTCCCACGGGCTCAGGGCCACCGCCACCCGCCGCACTGAGGAAATGGAACCGCTGGGTCCAGATGGACTCCTGCTTCTGAGGAATTAAAGGCCAAGCAGTGGGAGCCGGTCTGCTGCCTCTCTGTGGCTGCCTGTGGTACTGCATCATCCCTCCTCGTTTCTATTTGATCGACTTTCAGCTTCAGAACCAGAACTTTATGAGGCTGAATCTGTCACTGCTGGTCCAGAAACAGGCAGCTGGATCCGGTTCGATCTGGTTCTGCCGGAGCAGAACTGTCAAAACTATTCAGATTTATTATTCCAGTATAAATCCTGCTGTTTAAAAACACTTTTTTAGAAGTTAGAGGATCAATTTCAGCTTTTTACTCCAGTTAAAGAGTAAAAATACAATTTTTAAAACTGCTTCAAATATAAAAGTAAAAGTAAAGCAGGAAAAACTGTTAATTCCAGAAGCTTACTGCTCTACTCTATTTAAGGAAGATTTTTCTACATTTCTGGATGAAAACTTCCTCAGACTTTAAAGTGTTTGATGGAGGAAAGAAGGTTTTATTACAGATTTCTGTCTTAGAATCCAACCAAGACCAACATGAACATGAAAGAAAATCTGCATCAGTGAAACCATCTTCCTCCTGTTTATCAATCATTCAACTGAAATTAATTCATAAAATATTACTGCTCCTGAAACGAAGCGAGCTGATCCAATGGTGCGCAGCGTGCGTGAGGTTAGGAGACGCTGGAAGTCTTTGCACGCGGCGTCCAGACATTTCTATCAAACGAAGATCTAACTGCTGAAGTGGCGGCCAGGTGATGTCATCAATAAAACAAGCTGTCTGTCATAATAAGCAGAAATCTACAAAATATAAACTGGATATTAAAGTAAAATTAAGAGAATAATGTTTCTGTGGCTGCGTGATTTATTATCTTAGTTTTATAACTGAGCGTCACATTAAACTTTGCATCATCATGAAAAATGATTTATTTTGTTATGTGGTGAGCAACAGGTTGGGGCAGCACCGAGTCCAACCACAGAGGAATTAATTATCTGGAGGAAACTAATTATTTTGATGCTTTTTATCTTTTTTAAATACCAACAGGCCAGAATGAAAATGAGATAAAATGATCATTTTCAAACCGATTAATCTGTCGAAAATTTTTTTGATTAATCGATTTATAATATATATACTAATCAGATTCCTTAAAGTAGATTTTTTCTAAATAACAAGCAAATGAAACTAAAACTTTTCCATTTCAGGAGTTCTGGATTATAGAGCAGATTGACAGAAGGAAACAGTTTTTAAATCTTAAATGCAAAATGTTTATATATATTTAATCGCTCTGTCAGCTAAAGACATGTTTCAGAGCCTTATACCCTCGTTAACGATTAATCAGTTACTAAATTAGGTGATGATTATTGATTATTCTGATTATAAATGTGTTTAAATGACTGAATATCATCTAAAGTTCTTAGTTAATCTCCTCTGAATTGAGAAGTTGCTCTATAAGTACAGGATATTAAGCATTTAATTGTTTCAGCCTTAGCTTGAATCAAACTAACCGATCTACCGTAAATCCCCTAATATAGGCCGGGGCCTTTATTTCACTCAGGTGCATCTTGGTCCCGGCCATTATTGGAAGGAGGCCAGAATTAGAGGCAGGCCTCTATTTCTATTTGATCAAACAGTCTACCAGTGGAATGAATAAAAAACAGATTCTGTGTCTCTTCGAACCGATAAAATACTAGTTTCATTTATTGAAAAAGTACAGTTACCATAGCGATATAGAGAACATTATGCTCACGCACCTCAATCTTCTAGCTGGTCAAACTTCACAAGTCGTTTTCCGCAATTTTGGTCATAAAGACAAAACAAACCGGCCTCCTGTCTGCGGCTCTGTCTGCGCTAAGGATGGGAGCTCCCATGCTAACGGCTTGGATTGGTTAGCAAACACTGCCCCCCTGTGGTGCTTGTATGTTACTATAACAAGTTGTTGAGGACTGCCCAGGAACATCGTTGGTTCTGATTGTAACTCCGACAGCCAGTCCGGCCATTGTTAGAGACCGGGCCGCTACTGGGATACAGGCCGATAATCGTCTTATAAACCCAGCCAGCTGCTGCACAGCGCCCCCCGCAGGCCGTGCTGACCCTGACTTTGTGTTGCAGGTTCGGGCCGTGGGGGGGCCGACACCCAGCGGTGTCAGTACTACAACGTGAACTATGAGATGGAGAAGACCAATCAGAGCGGAGTGGAGGTGTGTGAGGGCGAAGCCGACAAACGCTCCCACTGCTACGCCTCCTGGAGGAACGCCTCGGGCGCCATCCAGCTGGTGAAGAAAGGATGCTGGCTGGACGACTTCAACTGCTACGACCGGTACACACACACACACACACACCTACAATATATCAGGGTTGTCATAGAAAGCGGCGGTTCTAGCAGGGCCCACGACCCGGTTCTGATCTTTGGGATTAAATAATTGCTTATTTCTCAGTAGAACCCGTGGTTCTGGCTAACAGAACAGCTTTATTGTTGGCTTTACTCTATAGAACCGGGTCATCTAGAGCTGCTCCTCTGATGTTGGTTCTAGAGACCAAAGACATTGGTTACATCCAGAGGTTCTGGTCGGACGGCGGACCTTAACCAAGACCACAGAGGTTCTAGATCTGAGCCTCAGTGCTGAAATATTTATGTCAGGTTCTGTTGATCTGGATCCAAACTGAGTTCTGGACCGAGCACCAATCAAAACGGGTCCAAACCAGATCTAAACGGAGGAGGTTTGGCCGGACCAGAACCGAGGTGTTGGACCTGAAAGTCAACATGACCGGCAGAACCTTTGGAACCAGTTAGAACATTAGTTCGTCCTGCTGGTTCTGACCCAGTTCTCTGCTTTCAGATGACATTTACCATCCGGTTCAGAACCTCTGTGATCCAAACTGGAACCAAGCCTCTTGTTTATTGACGTTTCATGATGGCCGTTTGATGATGACCCAGATTGTTGTGATCCAGGTCGGACTGCGTGGCGACGGAGGAGAATCCTGAGGTCTTCTTCTGTTGCTGTGAAGGAAACTTCTGCAATGAGAAGTTCATCCACCTGCCAGACCCCCGCAGCCCAGGTGGGTCCGTTTCCTGACTGATGACTCCTGTTTCTGTTCAGGGAGACGCGGAACTGGAGGCGGTTCTGGTGGAAATAAACCTTCAGTATTATTGCTGATGACATCGACGTCCTTTGATAGAAACTTCAGTCATAATGAAACCCGGCTCTGACTGACAGGAAGTAGATCAGATGTTTGAGTCCAGGAAAGGCTGGTTTTAGAAAAGCTTTGAAGTGTAAAAAATAAACCCTTTTTCTTTTGAAGTGATCAAGGCTCCGCCCAGCAGCGTGGACGTGTTAAACGTGCTGATTTACTGTCTGTCGCCTGCCGCCATGCTGTCAGTGGTTCTGCTCATCGCCGTCTGGATGTACCGCCACCGCAAACCCCCGTATGGACATGTGGACATCAGCGAGGTGCAGCTCACTCTCATCCTTCTGTTCTATAAGAGCTCCACCTGCTGGTGTCTGAGGGTACTGCAGTGGGTTCTAATAGACGGTCCAGGACCCGTAGAGATCCTTCTGAGTCTGATGCCTTCGCCTCGTGTCCTCCAGGATCCCGGCCCCCCCCCTGGCTCCCCCCTGCTGAGTCTGAAGCCCCTGCAGTTGCTTGAGGTGAAGGCTATGGGGCGCTTCGGCTGCGTGTGGAAGGGCCAGATCCTGAACGAATACGTGGCCGTGAAGATCTTCCCAATCCAGGTGCAGAACGCTACGTTCCTGTCGGCGCCTCTGGTGCATCTTCAGGTCTTCTAACTCCTCCGTCGTTCATTTTTTTCCCTCTGGGCAGAACAAGGAGTCGTGGCAGAACGAGAGAGACGTGTTCCTGACGCCGGGAATGAGGCACGAGAACATCCTGAGATTCATCGGAGCAGAGAGACGAGGGAGTCACCCGGAGAGCGAGCTGTGGCTCATCAGCGAGTTCCACGAGAGGGTGAGGAAGGAGAGCCAGGAGGTCTGGGACCCAACAGGAAGGGACACACGGAGATGTCCAGGGTGGGGGGTCGGTTCTGAAGCCTGGGGGGGGGGGGTTTCTTTCTTATTTCCGACCTTTTAGCAGCTTCTATTTGCTTCCAGTGACTCTCAGAGATCCGATGAGTTTGGTTTTGGAGACCCAGCTGGTCTTACGTAGCCTCATGAGACCATCCTGATCTCCCGAGCTTTCAAGGTTTCACTCGCAGATCAGTCTGGAGACTCTCCGTTAAAGAAAATTTGGAGCCGTTCACCAAACGAACGTCCAATCAGCGTTGGCTTTGAGGCGGGTTGAGGTGTGACGCAACGAGAAGCGCGACAGTTCAGTCTAAAGAACATGGCGGCTTCAGCCGAGGAAACTAGCGTTAGCGTGGCTAACAAGCAGGTTTTATGGGAATTACAGAGCATTTCTTCACTGAAAGAAGAGCAAAACACTGCTCTGGAGGCTTTTCTCAGAGGAAAAGATGTTTTTGCTCTTCTCCCGACTGGTTCCGGCAAGAGTTTGATCTATCAATCGGCTCCTCTTCGTCGTCGCTCTGTTACGTCATATGCTTCGTTGATCTGATTGGTTTATTTGGCCCGTCTATCACCAACATAGGCCAATCAGCTAACCAGTATTTTCGCCCCTTCCCTAAATTACTTCAACGGAAGGTTTCCAGATGGATATGTTGAGCAGATCCATCTGGCGGAGTCAGGTTAGGTCTTCCGTCCACTGAGATCAGAACCTTTGTGTCTGCAGGGCTCTCTGTCCGACTTCCTGAAGGGGAACGTGGTCAGCTGGTCCGAGCTGTGCCACATCGCTGAGTCCATGGCCCGCGGCCTGGCGTACCTCCATGAGGACATCCCCCACCTGAAAGGAGACCGACATAAACCGGCCATCGCTCACAGGTTCTGGATCCGCCATGATCCCGTCTCCACCTGGAGACGTCCAATCTGACCTGTTTCTCTGCTTCTCAGGGACTTTAAGAGCAAGAACATCATCCTGCGCTCCGACCTCACCGCCGTCATCGCCGACTTTGGCCTGGCTGTTTGCTTTGAGGCGGGGGAACCGCCTGGAGAAACGCACGGACAGGTGAGCAGGCGGCCGGAGTGGCGGGCGGGGGTTTGGCCTTCAGCGCCGATCCTGACGGTGACACACCTGTCCTCCCTGAGCAGGTGGGCACCAGGCGCTACATGGCCCCAGAGGTCCTAGAGGGCGCCATCAACTTCCAGAGAGACGCCTTCCTGCGGATCGACATGTACGCCGTGGGGCTGGTGCTGTGGGAGGTGGTGAGCCGCTGCAGGGCAGCCGACGGTGAGCAGGAGGGCTGCAGTTCACCGTGTTCGCCATCAGGGGGCGCCAGAGTTTAAATCTGATTTATTTGATTCCAGTTCTTCTGGATCCACTGAAATCCTCCATGTTTGATTATGATTGATACGGTTTATTATTTTTATACAGTTTTGCTTCCATTTCAGTCCAGTTGGTTCTGATCCGATTGCATTCATCATTTGAGTTCAGGTTAAACTATTATTTTAATTAGTTTCAGAACTTTTTCATCAGAATTTTACCTTTAAATTTAATGTGATGGTTATTATTTTATTTATTATTTTACTCCACTTTATTTAACCCAGTTAATCCAGATTAAACCCAGATTATTAGAAAAATATCATAAAAGCTCATTTTAAAATAATTGTTTTTGTTTTTACTCCAATTTAGATAAATAATATAATTAAATACTGAAACCAGATTGGGTCCAAACTCTGGTTCTGTCTGTTTGTTGGTTTCTCATGGTTCTGGTTCTTAAGGGTGACGCCAGAGTCCGGCCCGGTTCAGGGCGGCTCAGCGACCAGAGGACCGGTTCTTTGGGTCGGTAGTTTGTGGGTTCTGATGGACCCGTCCTGTTCTGCTTTCAGGTCCATTGGATCAGTACTTGCTGCCGTTTGAGGAGGAGGTGGGTCAGCATCCGACCCTGGAGGACCTGCAGGAGGTGGTGGTCCACAAGAAGATGAGACCCACCATCAAAGAACTGTGGCTCAAACACAGCGTGAGTGGTTCCGGTTCCGGTCCGATCTTGTTTCAGAACCTACAGAGAAAGAAGCAGAACCAGCCGGTTTTAGAGCAGCGGTTCTGGTCCCAGATGGTTTTATGGGACGGGTCCGTTTGGTTGGTTTCTAGAAAAACAAATGTGAGAAAATGGGCCCAATAAGTTCAGGGACAGGTGGTTCTGGTTCTGATTAGTGGGTCGGACCGGGTCACCCGCTGCCTCCCAGAAATGAACCCGGTATCCAGACCTGCTGGATCAGAACCTCCCCCACCTGACCCAGGCTGAGTTCTGATGGTTCTGATGTTTGGACCTCCTGTCTGCAGGGTCTGGCTCAGATCTGTGAGACCGTGGAGGAATGCTGGGACCACGACGCCGAAGCTCGCCTGTCAGCCGGCTGCGTGGAGGAGAGGATCTCCCAGATCCGCCACCACGCCGCCGCCACCGCCGCGCCTACCTCCGACGCCAACGCAGCTGTCACCATGGTGACCAACCTGGAGCCGCCGCCTAAAGAGTCCAGCCTCTGAGGAGGAGACCCAGACCGGTTCTGGTTCTGATCCCCCTCCTGGACCTCCGAGTACCTCAGGTTTTCTGCTGGATTCCACACGGCGTCTGCCGACCCGCGAATGTTTCCCACCGAAATGCTGCAGAGCCGCCATGTTGCCATGGAGACCGCTCCAGCTGGAGGCGAGGACCTTTTTATTTTTTATTTTTTAGAGTCATTTGTGTTTTATCGGTTGACATGACCTCAGACAAACCTTCGGATCCAACGGGTCTAACCCTGAAAGACAGAAACAGGAAGTGATGTCAGAAGGGAAGCCAGACGGCTGCTCTGTTTCAGGAAACATTAGTCAGGAAAAAAAAACTAAACAGCTGACTGAGCTCAGCCATTCAGAGAACCAAACTCCTCAGGTAACCTTGGGAGGGGGCGGGACTTTAGTCGGCTACGGCTTTAGTGGGTGGGGCTTAGAGACGGTTCTGATACCAGAAGCTTTTCCTCGCGATGCAACAAATGTGTGTGGGTCACATGATCAGCGCCGAGCCTTCTGATTGGTTCATTCCTCTGCCTTAATTTTTACCCAGAGGTCAGTTGGGGGGGCGCTGCAACCTTTGACCTCTGACATCCTGGTATTATGGCTGCCGGACCTGCTGCTCACAGCCTGCAGCGCCGCCTGCTGGCCTGGAAACCAGCCAGACGAAGGGTTTCCACCCTCAGCCGAGTTATGATGGCTGCTCTGGTCTCCAGAGGTCAAAGGTCAGCGGTGGCCTCCCTGTTCTGCTGCTTCTAACGGGGACCGAAGCTGAGGATGCGTCTCCATGGAGACGCTGGTCGCTCCAGCACCAGCCTGAGCGGCGGCTCTGTTTGTGTCCCTTCTGTGATGCCGTACAGCTAACACTGAATGTCTGCCATGATGATGATGATGATGAAGATGTCCTCTGGCTGCGTTGGACTCCTGCAGAACCAGAGGGAGGAGAACCGGACGGAAACAACAAGATCACCTCAATACAGCAGAATCCCGCCGCGCCTCCTCGCCGTCTTTCTACTCCTCCTAATGATTCCTTCTCCTGTCTTGAAGGTTCTATTCCTGCTGATACCTGAGCAACCTCTGGACTGGATGTTCTACCATCCTGGTTTCTATCTCAATAAAATGTTTTTTTATTGTTTTATTTTTGATCCTGAGGAAGGAAGATGGAGGGAAAAGGCCCGACAGGAAACGGCAGCATTTACCAAAATAAAAGCCCCTCAGCAGCTGTTTCCCATCCTGAGGTGAAGCTGTTTTGGTCTCGGCGCCGGGATTCTTCTCCAGACCAGTGAATGTAGTTTATAGTCGTCTGCTTCCACAAACGGCAGCTGGTTAAACAAGGATCTTTTTTTTTATCTGAAAATAATAAAAGCTGTCGGATTGTTTTAAATGGACTCTGCTGTTTTATTTCATTAGAAAGTTCCTGATTTATTTCCCTAAGTTTGATGTTTATTCCAGATAAACCGGAGGTTCTTCCTTTAACTTTAACGTCTCACCAACAGGCCGACACTTTTCTACAGTTTCTAAGAAAAATCAAAGCTTTTATCCTGGAAAAAGTTCTATTTCAACAACTTGTCCTGCCAGAGATTAAATTCTCTGTGCGGAACATGGAGCTAAACCTGGATTAGAAATTTAAAGCCTAACAATTTTACATTTAGTTCTGCTTAAATTTAAAACTCTGAAATACAGAAATGGAACAAAAATATATGCATAAATTACTTTACTGAAAGGTCACTGTTCATATTCATTGATAGGCTGATCTATCGTAGAAAATCTACATGCCTGGAACTAGTCTTGAAAAAGTAAAAGTATTTGATGACAGAAAATGTTTTTTGTGTGAGTGAAATTAATTGGCCCAGATCCGTTCCAGCAATACGATGGAGTCACAGCTGAACAGGACCAGGTTTGATAAATTTACCATAAGAAAACATAAAGGTAAAAGTGGAACTAACAGATTCTGCAGAGTGGGAGAATAGAGATAGAATGAAGCAGAATGGTGAAAAAGGGGTCCCTATGTCCTCCAGCAGTCTAAGCCTATAGCAGCAGAACTATAGAGATAGATCAGGATAACCTGAGCCACTCTAACTAGAAGCTTTATCAAAAAGGAAAGTTTTAAGTCTAGCCTTAAAAGTAGACAGGGTGTCTGCCTCACGGACTAAAACTGCAACCCAGTCTCATGGGAAAACGTACCCCCAAACGTTGGTCCACACTACAAAACGTAGTGGAGGTACATTAATGGCCATTTCTTCTGCCTATACGCTTTCTATTGTTTTACGTCCTAGTCACGTGACTTTCAAGATTCCAGCTGGGAGAAGAAAAAAAATATATATATGGCCGACATTCGCTCATTTTTTTGTGGAAAGATTAATGACTTGAGTTTGTTTTTGCATTAAAATGAGTTTTGATTACATTTCCAGTGAGAAATGTATAGTTTGTTGCCAGAATATTTACTCAGGGAATGTACATATTCACTTGCTTCTTCGTTTCTTGCAAAGATCTTTCAAGATAATGTGAAACTGTAACGTTTTGGTATAAACATGGCTGAGATTTCTCTAACTTTTAGTGGGAAAATCAATAATTTCAATCAGTTTCTGCATTTAAATGGGTTTTGATCACATTTATAGCGAGAAGTGTAGGGTTTATTTACATAATATTTACTTCGTGAACATACATAATCACCCGCTTGCTAGTTTTTGCTACGTTTTTCGGATCTCGTCAGGATTATGTGAAATTGCAACGTTTTGGCTGCTACCCATCGCCTAGCATTTAGCTGCCGCCCCGATTCAACATTGAATTCTTTGTGATTTAACTCCATCTGACGGATCAAACCCTCGCCACTGCGTGCGTTGCGTCTGAGGTTGATTTTCAGATCAATGCATTGCGTCGTGGCATACGGGAGAAACTAATTAAACTAGTTTAAAAAAAGGATCATGGGTTAAGATCGGATGTGTTTTATTTGGAAATCTACCGGATCCTTTGTGCATTTCACTTCCTGTTTGGTGCGATCTCATTGATGGGTTTTGACCAGATTTTGACCAAAGAGGAACTAAAAAAAACAAAACAATTTAAATACACAACCAGCATATCTGGAATCAGTGACAGAGAGCGACTGGGACCAGAAGTTTATTAATTTCTCCCCACTGATTTCCATTCAAAATGTTTTCGATCCCACCGGGCTCTAGGGAAGGGGCGTGCATACCGCCACCTACTGTTCATGAGTGTGTAGCAACATTGTTTTACATCTATTAAATTCTATTTTTTAATTTTGCATTCTGAAGATAAATAAATAATGCTTTCCTTAATCTATAAATATCTTTTATATTTCCTTTATTTCCCAATAATCCTTTAAGACTCCATTCTTGGCCTGTCCTCTTTTCAATTTCTTCCTTTCAGGTTCATATGTTTTACAGTTCATCAATACATCTGCATTTTCTATCTCTCCACATCCTTCACATTTATCATTAATTTTCCTCCCTATTAAGTATAAATTGTAATTTAAATAAGTATGACCTACTCTTAATTTGATCATTATTATTTCTTCCCTTCGGTTTCTCTCATTAATATTTCTATTTAATACTGACTTTTGTACTTTATATAACCTTCTTCTTTTTTTATCTTCATTCCACCTTTTTTTTTGCCATTTTTCAATTTCTTTCCTCTTAATAAATGATTTTCCTTCCCCTTTCCCTAAAGGAATTGTAATTGTTATTTGTCTACTTTTCATTCCACCTAACTTTCCATTAATTAGCTTGAAAACAGCACTTTGTAGGCACCCAGTTTCTCTAACAATGGCCCTTTTTGGGTTACCCTCCATGCATTGGGTGTCAGTTCAGTGGCAGTTCCAGAACATTTTCTTAGGGTTGACCAGGCAGCACAATAATGTGCATGTGGCCAAAAAGTAATAGGGATCAAATTCGGTTCAGAGTCAAGCTATTGGGATCAGGCATCAGGTTCAATTTGCATATTTTCTTAGCCAAAACAAAGATTTGTTGGGCTACTGTAATTTTTAATTGACGTCCTGAATGGGAAAGATGGCAAAGTCCAAAGTTTTTTTTTTTTTTTTTTTTTTTTTTGGAATGATTATGACCTGGATGTCTAAGAATCATTATCAGGGAAATGAATGCCCACAATGTCTATATTTTCCAAAAGAGAATAACAGAACAGACCTTCATGAGGCCCTTGTTAAAGCTATGCATATATTTATGCATCTATGCTCTTCAAATAACTTTCTGGTTCGACGCAACATTTACATTAAATGGGTTGAGAGGTTGTTCTTTACCAGTAAATACATAAAAGATTCCCAGATGACTGCCGATACAAACTCTCCCCTATAAAACCTAAAACTAATTCTTATAAGAGAGTAAAATCTGTATTAGTCTTCATTAAATGTAGCATATTGTTGTAAATAATCGATTGCTTTATTTTTGGTGTCAGCTTTTGGTCAATATGCTAACCTTAAAAGGTCAAAGTGGGAAAATGTAGTAGTAGTAGACAAATTAGCAATTAGAGGAGGCAATAACAATTACAATTCCTTTAGGGAAAGGAAAATCATTTATTAAGAGGAAAGAAATTGAAAAATGGCAAAAAAAAGGTGGAATGAAGATAAAAAGGAAGAAGGTTATATAAATTACAAAAGTCAGTATTAAATAGAAATATTAATGAGAGAAACCAAAGGGAAGAAATAATAATGATCAGATTAAGAGTAGGTCATACTTATTTAAATTACAATTTATACTTACTAGGGAGGAAAAATAATGATAAATGTGAAGGATGTGGAGAGATAGAAAATATAGAACACCTATTGATGAACTGCAAAACATCTGGACCTGAAAGGAAGAAATTGAAAAGAGGACAGGCCAAGAATGGAGTCTTAAAGGATTATTGGGAAATAAAGGAAATATAAAAGATATTTATAGATTAAGGAAAGCATTATTTATTTATCTTCAGAATACAAAAAATAGAATTTAATAGATGTAAAACAATGTTGCTACACACTCATGAACAGTAGGTGGCGGTATGCCCGCCCCTTCCCTAGAGCCCGGTGGGATCGAAAACATTTTGAATGGAAATCAGTGGGGAGAAATTAATAAACTTCTGGTCCCAGTCGCTCTCTGTCACTGATTCCAGATATGCTGGTTGTGTATTTAAATTGTTTTGTTTTTTTTAGTTCCTCTTTGGTCAAAATCTGGTCAAAACCCATCAATGAGATCGCACCAAACAGGAAGTTAAATGCACAAAGGATCCGGTAGATTTCCAAATAAAACACATCCGATCTTAACCCGTGATCCTTTTTTTAAACTAGTTTAATTAGTTTCTCCCGTATGCCACGACGCAATGCATTGATCTGAAAATCAACCTCAGACGCAACGCACGCAGTGGCGAGGGTTTGATCCGTCAGATGGAGTTAAATCACAAAGAATTCAATGTTGAATCGGGGCGGCAGCTAAATGCTAGGCGATGGGTAGCAGCCAAAACGTTGCAATTTCACATAATCCTGACGAGATCCGAAAAACGTAGCAAAAACTAGCAAGCGGGTGATTATGTATGTTCACTAAGTAAATATTATGTAAATAAACCCTACACTTCTCGCTATAAATGTAATCAAAACCCATTTAAATGCAGAAACTGATTGAAATTATTGATTTTCCCACTAAAAGTTAGAGAAATCTCAGCCATGTTTATACCAAAACGTTTCAGTTTCACATTATCTTGAAAAATCTTTGCAAGAAACGAACAAGCAAGTGAATATGTACATTCCCTGAGTAAATATTCTGGCAACAAACTATACATTTCTCACTAGAAATATAATCAAAACTCATTTTAATGCAAAAACAAACTCAAGTAATTAATCTTTCCACAAAAAAATGAGCGAATGTCGGCCATATATATATATTTTTTTCTTCTCCCAGCTGGAATCTTGAAAGTCACGTGACTAGGACGTAAAACAATAGAAAGCGTATAGGCAGAAGAAATGGCCATTAATGTACCTCCACTACGTTTTGTAGTGTGGACCAACGTTTGGGGGTACGTTTTCCCATGAGACTGGGTTGAAAACTGGTAGTTGGTTCCACAGGAGAGGAGCCTGAGAACTAAAAGATCTGCCTCCCATTCTACTTTTAGAAGTTCTAGGAACCACTAGTAAACCTGCAGATTGAGAGCGAAGTGCTCTGTTAGGAACATCAGGAACAATCAGATCTCTGATATCAGATGGAGCTTGGCCATTTAAGGCTTTATATGTGAGAAGGAGGATTTTAAATTCTATTCTGGATTTAACAGGAAGCCAATGAAGAGAAGCCAGGATAGGAGAGATATGATCTCTCTTTTTCATTTTCATCAGAACTCTGGCTGCAGCATTTTGGATCAGCTGAAGGCTTTTAACTACAGTTTGTGGACTTCCTGATAGTAAAGAATTACAATAGTCCAGCCTTGAAGTAACAAATGCATGGACTAGTTTCTTAGTATCACCCCTGGACAGGAGATTGCTCATTTTTGCAATATTCGAGGAACCCATTTAGCAGAGTTAAAGTGTCGTCTGATCCAGTCATATCAGCAGAGAGGAATGTACGGAATAGAAATAAATTGTAGGTTATTTTTGGTCAAAAATAATGTCCACCAGATGGCAGCACAACACAAATTAAGAACCCTTCGAATGGTCAGAGATCCAATTGAAGTATTCCAAAAAAAGAAAATTAAAAACAATCCACTGGATTCTGCTTCCAAGTTTGAAGACGTTTAGCTTCATATCCAGGAAACCTGGAACTCACCGCCATTTCTGACATTTAAGCTTCCTGGATGGAACTTGGAAACAAAGTCCAGTTAATTGATTTTAATGGCCGTTTTTGGAATGACTGAGAATCTTCTCCAGCATCTAATTTAACCATTAAACAAGTTTACAAAATGTTTTTATAATTTTTTTTCCTTTTTAAAATTACTATATTTGTATATGTAACAGATTATTATACATCTGGAAACTTGCATTAGCAGTGTCTATGCTTTAAATTCTGCTTTAAAATAAAAAAGGTTTTTTTAAATGCATATTTCACTTTCTGACAAGAGAAACAACAAAAAGACAAAAAAAAAACATTTGAATAAAAACAGTTGTATTGTGATTTCATTCATATTAAAAACTGGGTTGATGTGAAGGCAAAGGAATAACTGGTCTATAGAAATAGATAATAGATCGCATAGATCATCTTCTGCATTTCACTTTGAATACCCAGAAATACAAGATTTTTTGGACAAATGTTTTTGTTATTTAATGAATGACCTTAAGAAAACGAATTGGATAGAAAGGATATAAGTTTTTCTATTTAGTTATTATTTTTAAGAAGAGGAAGAAGAGCTCTCTAAATGTAATTTTAAAGTTTTTCTGGAAGGAATTCGCTGCCAGGCTGTGATCCATCATGTTTAGGTTCTGCTCATGGGGAAGGATTAACTAATAAAGCAGTTTAATCAAATTAAAAAGCAAAAACAAATCAAGCTTCTTTTTTAAACCTCTTTTTCTGCTTTTACTTTGAAAGCCGGGTGACAGGACGTGACGTAGCATCTGCATATGCTAACAGGTTTAGGAGATGTCTGCCAATGTCAGCCTTTTAAAAAGCCTCCCCGGGTGTCGGTACCGTTCGGCCTGTAGAGGGCTCCTCCAGGGGAACCAGGCTGGGGGCTGTCCGGCCAGCAAGGGCCGCAGGGCGGCTATAAACACAGGTACTGCCCCGTAGCTGCGGTTAACAGGCTAATGCTAGCCGCTCTGGTTAGATCATCGAGATCTAGATCAGAACCTCCAGATATGCTGACATATTTAGATCTACAATATGTTTAAGAGTCTCCTAAATAACTGGGCTCTCCATGTGTCCCATTAAACCACAGCTGATTAAATATGAACTGATCTCTTCAAGGTTCGCTAATAACTCATACAGGCAATACGTCAGCGCGTCCGCCATACTGTGAGAGGCAAGCTCTCTTTGGAAACCGCTGCAAAGCTTTAATTACTGAAAAACAAAGCTTTTTGTACATGATTGCGGTCATTTAGGTGAAATCTAAATGATATTTACGAAAAATAAACTATTTAAATTAGAAAATATTAGTTTAGTAAAATCCAAACAGGTTTTAAACAAAAAAACTTCAATTGTTTCTGATATCATGCTGTGTGTGTGAAGAGCCTCCTAATGAAGGACTGAGGAACCTTCAGCAGTAGATTATTGATATAAATTAAAACTAAAATTTGTATCGTTCTAATATTTGTGGTGAACTAGAACATCCATAAACTGCTTAATGACCCAGACTCTTCTGAAAGCTGCTTTAGCTCTGCTTTGACCTCTGACCTTTGCTGTCTCTATGCAGCTGCAGGAACCCCTCCTCGGCCACTAGAGGGCGTCAGAGTGCTGGATCTGACCCGGTGAGCTCAGCAGGGTGCGCCTGTCTCCTCTCAGCCCTGGTTTGATGCTAAGCTCTGTCTGAATGTTTGCAGAGTTCTGGCCGGTCCGTTTGCCACCATGATCCTTGGAGACCTTGGAGCCGAGGTGATTAAGGTGGAGAGACCAGGTGAGTATTGTTCTGTTGGGCCGCAGCTGAAGGATTGTGGGAAATCTGATGGCTTCTGATGTTGGGTGTGTTGAACAGGTGGAGGCGACGACACCAGAGCCTGGGGGCCGCCGTTTGTTTCCTCAGAAAGCATCTACTTCCTGAGCATCAACCGGAACAAGAAGGTGAAACGCTAGGAGCTGTGAAGTTCTTAGGGCCAGAGGGCCCGGCCTGAGCTCCAGAGGGCCCGGCCTGAGGTCCTTAGGGCCCGGCCTGAGCTCCAGATGGCCCGGCCTGAGCTCCAGAGGGCCCGGCCTGAGGTCCTTAGGGCCCGGCCTGAGGTCCTTAGGGCCCGGCCTGAGCTCCAGAGGGCCCGGCCTGAGGTCCTTAGGGCCCGGCCTGAGGTCCTTAGGGCCCGGCCTGAGCTCCAGAGGGCCCGGCCTGAGGTCCTTAGGGCCCGGCCTGAGGTCCTTAGGGCCCGGCCTGAGCTCCAGAGGGCCCGGCCTTAGGGCCAGAGGGCCCGGCCTGAGCTCCAGAGGGCCCGGCCTGAGGTCCTTAGGGCCCGGCCTGAGCTCCAGAGGGCCCGGCCTGAGGTCCTTAGGGCCCGGCCTGAGGTCCTTAGGGCCCGGCCTGAGCTCCAGAGGGCCCGGCCTTAGGGCCAGAGGGCCCGGCCTGAGCTCCAGAGGGCCCAGCCTGAGCTCCAGAGGGCCCAGCCTGAGCTCCAGAGGGCCCGGCCTGAGCTCCAGAGGGCCCGGCCTGAGGTCCTTAGGGCCCGGCCTGAGGTCCTTAGGGCCCGGCCTGAGCTCCAGAGGGCCCAGCCTGAGCTCCAGAGGGCCCGGCCTGAGCTCCAGAGGGCCCGGCCTGAGCTCCAGAGGGCCCAGCCTGAGCTCCAGAGGGCCCAGCCTGAGCTCCAGAGGGCCCGGCCTGAGCTCCAGAGGGCCCGGCCTGAGGTCCTTAGGGCCCGGCCTGAGGTCCTTAGGGCCCGGCCTTAGGGCCAGAGGGCCAATCTTCCGTCCCTTCAGATCCTGAGAACATCACGAACACAGAATGTTTAACTAGAGCTGCCAACAAAAACCATGCAGTCATTTCTGATCTAGATCCAGGCGTAGAACTTTCTAACCTGACAACAGCCAGATGCATGTCTCGCTCCGCCCAGCTCCACTCACATACAGGTGCTGGTCATAAAATTAGAATATCATGAAAAAGTAGATTGATTTCAGTAATTCCATTTAAAAAGTGAAACTTGTATATTATATTCATACATTACATACAAACTCATATATTTCAGATGTTTATTTGGTTTAATTTTGATGATTACAAATGACAACAAATGAAAATCTCAAATTCATCATATCAGAAAATTAGAATATTACTGAAGACCAATAAAAACAAAGGATTTATAGAAATGTTGGCCAACTGAAAAGTATGAACATGAAAAGTATGAGCATGTACAGCACTCAGTATTTAGTTGGGCCTCCTTTGGCCTGTATTACTGCAGCAATGCGGCGTGGCATGGAGTCGATCAGTCTGTGGCACTGCTCAGGTGTTATGATAGCCCAGGTTGCTCTAATAGTGGCTTTTAGCTCTTCTGAATTGTTGGGTCTGGTGTATTGCATCTTCTTCTTCACAATACCCCATAGATTTTCTATGGGGTTAAGGTCAGGAGAGTTTGCTGGCCAATTAAGAACAGGGATACCATGGTCCTTCAACCAGGTACTGGTAGCTTTGGCACTGTGTGCAGGTGCCAAGTCCTGTTGGAAAATGAAATCTGCATCTCCAAAAAGTTGGTCAGCTGCAGGAAGCATGAAGTGCTCTAAAACTTCCTGGTATGTGGCTGCGTTGACCCTGGACCTCAGAAAACACAATGGACCAACACCAGCAGATGACATGGCACCCCAAACCATCACTGACTGTGGAAACTTTACACTGGACTTCAAGCAACGTGGATGAAGTGCCTCTCTTCTTTTCCTCCAGACTCTGGGACCTTGATTTCCAAAGGAAATGCAAAATTTACTTTCATCAGAGAACATGACTTTGGACCACTCACAAGCAGTCCAGTCCTGTTTCTCTTTAGCCCAGGCAAGACGCTTCTGACGCTGTCTGTGGTTCAAGAGTGGCTTGACACAAGGAATGCGACAGCAGAAACCCATGTCTTTCATACGTCTGTGTGTGGTGGTTCTTGAAGCACTCACTCCAGCTGCAGTCCACTCTTTGTGAATCTCCCCCACATTTTTGAATGGGTTTTGTTTCACAATCCTCTCCAGGGTGCGGTTATCTCTCTTGCTTGTACACTTTTTTCGACCACATCTTTTCCTTCCCTTCGCCGCTCTATTAATGTGCTTGGACACTGAGCTCTGTGAACAGCCAGCCTCTTTAGCGATGACCTTTTGTGTCTTGCCCTCCTTGTGCAAGGTGTCGATGGTCGTCTTTTGGACAACTGTCAAGTCAGCAGTCTTCCCCATGATTGTGTAGCCTATAGAACTAGACTGAAAGACCATTTAAAGGCTTTTGCAGGTGGTTTGAGTTAATTAGCTGATTAGAGTGTGGCACCAGGGGCCATCAATTTTGAACCTTTTCACAATATTCTAATTTTCTGATATGATGAATTTGAGATTTTCATTTGTAATCATCAAAATTAAACAAAATAAACATCTGAAATATATGAGTTTGTATGTAATGTATGAATATAATATACAAGTTTCACTTTTTAAATGGAATTACTGAAATCAATCTACTTTTTCATGATATTCTAATTTTATGACCAGCACCTGTACATCTGGGAACCCGCTCATTGAAAGTGATTTCCCCAACCAAATTTATGGTCTGTCCAATCAGGACGCAGGGTGGGTGTGTCCAACCAAATTTATGGTCTGTCCAATCAGGACGCAGGGTGGGTGTGTCCAACCAAATTTATGGTCTGTCCAATCAGGACGCAGGGTGGGTGTGTCCAACCAAATTTATGGTCTGTCCAATCAGGACGCAGGGTGGGTGTGTCCAACCAAATTTATGGTCTGTCCAATCAGGACGCAGGGTGGGTGTGTCCTGGAGTGGAGAAGCGACCGTGAGATTCCAACAACAATGGTGGCTCGCATCGAGGAAGCAAGCGTTAGCATTGATGCTGCTATTTCTTCTGTGTTGTCCAATCTATCTGATATTGTTTCATCAAAAGAACATCAGAGAACGGCTTTGAAGGCTTTTGTTGGTGGAAACGATGTTTTCGCCCTTCTCCCGACCGAATTTGGCAAGAGCTTGATCTACCAAATGGCTCCTCCTCTCACAGCGTCACAGGTTAGCTTCGGTGTGAGTGGTTGAAATAGCACGTCAATAAAGATGATAGACAAGTGGCTTATCCAATCATATGCAAGGAGTTTTGATAAGGCCCAGCCTTCAGTAAAGGCAATTCCTATGGCGGGTTCCCAGATGTATGTGAGTGGAGCTAGGCGGAGCCAGACATGCATCTGGCTGTTGTCAGGTTAAGAACTTTCTGCTGAAGCTTCATTTTTTGCTGCTGAACCCAGAATGTTGTTTTTCAGAGCATCGCTGTGGACATGAAACATCGGCGAGGAGCAGAGATCATCCTGCAGGTACCTGAGAACACAACATGAACTCACCTGTTCTTATTTTTACACCGTAATTAATTAGAACATTTTTATGATTTGTGTATTCATGGCGTGCGTTCAGCTTGCAGGTGTGAGTGACGTCCTGGTGGAGAACTTCCTGCCAGGGAAGCTCTCTCAGATGGGTCTAGGATACGCCGAGCTAAGCAGACTGAATCCACGGCTCATCTACTGCTCCATATCAGGTACCGACCTCCTGGACCCGGTCTCAGTCTGGGTCCTGGTTCTCAATCCACTGAGGATCCAGTTTCTTCCTGACCTCCTGATGTTAAACGGCCCTCAGACTCACAGAACCACCTCCAGGTCCGGTTAAACCGCTGGAGCAGCAGATTCCCGTTGAGTCCCATACCTCCCAGTAATCCCAGAGGCCTCTAATTCATGGCAGCTGGGTTCTGGTTTTCCTAGAACCTTTTGTTGTGTCTTCAGGGTACGGACAGACGGGTCCCCAGTCTCAGAGTCCAGGATACGACTCCATCGCTTCGGCGGTGTCTGGAATGATGCACATCACCGGGCCGGAGGTCAGAGCGCCTTCTTTAGGTTCTGGGCTCAGAACGGAGCAGGAAGGATGTGAAATGAGCTCTGATGATGATGATGTCATCAGTCCGTTAAACAGCCTAAGCTCCCATGATGCTTTGCTGTCGTAGGACGGAGAGCCGGTTCGTCCGGGCGTCGCCATGACGGATCTAGCAACGGGGCTGTACGCACACGGAGCCGTCATGGCCGCCCTGCTGCAGAGGCAGAGGACGGGTAGAGGAGCTCACATCGACTGTAACCTGCTGTCCTCACAGGTAACTTCCTGTTTGTGATGTCACTTCCTGTCTACCAGAGTGTTGCTTAGCAGCAGATTCATGGTGTGTGTAACCCTAACCTAGCCTGTTAAATATAAGAAAAAAAGGTTTGGTGTTTTAAGAAACATTTAAATTACCAGGAAAACAAAAAATGTCGAAAAACGTCCTTTAACTCGGCAAATTTAAAGCTACAGTGTGTAATAATTACAGGGATATACAGTCAGAAATGTAATATATTATACATAACTATGTTATTTATCATCATCTACGAGCTCAGCCTCTTAACCTTAATATTTGCGTTGCCTTAGAATTCGTTATTTATAATTACATAGGAGCGGGTCTCGCAGCCATGGAGGCAGACATCTTTGCGCTACGGCAGCGCAGAGCCAACAAACTAGCGATTGCGAGATCTCCAATTACGCTCGAAAATAACTACGGCAAGTTGAGAGAGATGAACTGAGACGGTACTGAACAATAGATGGCAGTATTAAAATTATCTATGTAAACAAACCTCATCACTTGAGAAGGTAGGTGATGCGGACGTCGTGGAAGACATTTTGTCCCGTAACGCTCGCCGTACTGTTGGGGGGGGAGAAGCGGTGGGGGGGAGATGTTCATGTTGCTGCGGTCTGCAGTCTGACCGCTAGATGTCGCAGAAAATTACACACTGTAGCTTTAAGATTCGGTAGCAAACATTCAAAATGGCCGTTTCTAGTCAAAAGCAGACGGATGGCAGCAGAATCCCCTCCAACTTCCAGCCACTGGTCTTCTCCTGGGCATGCATGATTTTTTTCACTCTGACTCCACCCTTTCACTGAATTACAGGGTCTGACCAGCAGATGGCGCTTCTCTTTAGATCTTAATGTCCACAAATCAGGACAGAATATTTTAGTAGGATTGATGTTTAAAAAGGAATTTTAGGGGCCAGCCAAGGACTCATCAAGGAAAGTGGGGAATTGGCGCCGAACAGTGGTAAATATCGGAAGTGCAGTTTAATATAATCCAAGTATGTGAAACATTAGTCCATAAAAAGTTAAAATCAATCCTCTGGACTTTGTTTCCTCGTTTGAAGACGTTTCTCTTCCATCCAGGAAGATTTTTCATTCCAAATGTCAGAAATAGCGTTTAGTTCCAGGTTTTATCCAGCAGCCCAACAAAGCCTGGTTTTAGTTTAGAAAACATGCAAATAGAAACGGATGAACGGGTCCCCCCCTTTGGAATGGGGGTCGTTTGGCTTCTTAGTTAGCCTGCAATGCCCCATACCTGTCTATGGCTCTGAAAGGGGGGTCGTTAGAGGGAATAGTTGGCCTGGATGAATAGGGGAGGTCCTCTGTTGGGGGGGGGGCCCGTTCATCCGTTTCTATTTGCATGTTTTCTAAACTAAAACCAGGCTTTGTTGGGCTGCTGGATAAAACCTGGAACTAAACGCTATTTCTGACATTAGCTTCCTGCTTCAAGTACAGATGGGATAGTTCCATCCATGTTCATATGTGGATGTACGTTTAGATGTCCAACCCAAATCACTGAACTCTCACAATGCCGCGTCAACGAGTCCGATCAGAAGAAGGAGGAATCAAAGCTGAGCACTTAGAGCAGGACGGCGTTGGTTTATGGAGACGCTGCAGAACGTCTGGTTGGAACCAAAGGTCTGCTGTTGTGAGGAAAGCTGATGAAACGTGATCTGAAGTTCCTCATAGTGACAGAGGTTCCTGCAGGCCAGGCTGCTTTACCAACAGTTGATGTCCTGAATGTCTCTGTCCTCTGTCTGTCCCAGGTGTCCTGCCTCAGTCACATCGCAGCAAACTATCTGAACGCAGGGAAGGAGGCCCGACGCTGGGGGACGGCTCATGAGAGCATCGTCCCGTACCAGGTGAGGCCGCACCTATCCCTCTCTCCAAACGTAGGAAGTATTCACACCCCCTCCCCCGACGCCCTGACCTGCCTGCCTTCTTCTGCAGCTTCTACCTGATTCTATGGAGTCACTTTTATTCCATTATTGTTCCAAAGAATCAATGAAACTTTGATAATCAAATCATTTGTTTTTCAGAGTAACTTTCCTGTTTTCTTGGATTTTACTTTTCAAGTAAATATTTTTTTAAACTTTATTTTCTCACTTTTTTAAAATTTATTTTCAAAATGATCAGATTGAGTTTTAAGAAATGATTCTTCTCAGATTGCTTTGCCCGGATCGCGTTCACTTCCAGCCCAATCCAAACGCTCGCTCTCCACCAGGGAAGCTGAGCAACTTCTGAGAAGCAGAGAAACTATATACCTTGTTTGGTTGTGGGAACCCAGAGCCAGCAGGTCTCTGGAGACCCTGAGGGTTCTGCTCCAAACAGATCAGCGGCTCTGAAATATCTTCAACCATAAACTGTTTAATGCTATTTTATGCACTTTGGAAAACTCGGAGCGGTTCTGAACGGGTTCATTATTCTGATGTTAGTCAGGACTGTAGCAGCTGCCTGATGGAACTCCTCCAGAGACCAGTACAGACAGGGACCTGACCTGCTGGGACGGTTCAGGTTTTAGACTTTAGAGGACATTTAGATCAGTTCAAAGCTGCAGATCATCTCCAGCTGAGGTTGGAAGAAGTGGCCCTAAGTTCTCGGTAACCTTCAGCAGGAGCCATGAAAGCTCCTCTGATGAATGTGGACAGTCTGATAAAGAAGACGGCTGAAAATGAAAGCAGGTGTCACAATGTGGGGCTTCACACCTTGAGGTGGTTCAGAGGAACGTTTAGAAGGTCTCTCTGTGATCTGCTGGAAATGAAACCTTTAGATCTAAGGATTGTTCTGCTCCTCCAGAGTCTGGTCCTCATTATGGAGCCTGAGGGAGATGTTCCACTTCATGACTCTCAGAAGATAAGCTGTCAGTTCCTCCTTGTGTTTCTGTCTTCTGTGATCCCAGCACCAGCAACATTTTTGTGGTCTTCATCTCCACCAGCTTCAGCGTCCGACTCTCAGATCTAAACCCAGTGTGAACCTCCTTTCCCACAATGCACTGGGCCCTCCTTCGCTTCCTCAGCCTCCAGGCTGCGGAGATGAAAGCAGAGTGGAGGGTTCAGAGATTGCAGCAGTCTAAACATCAGAGTTAGAGGTTCTGTGGGTTTGGAAAGGAGAACTTTTGAGGTTTTTCACATCTTGATCCTGCAGAAGTGAGACGTCCACCGTGTCACAAAAGAGACACATGAGAGACTTGGTGCGTTTGGGGACAGAAACCCGAGGTTTGAAGACCAGGTGAGAAGAACATCTTCTGTATTTCAGCTGATGTTTGACGCCAACAGCAGGAAGGACGCATGCTAGTGACTAGAGGTGCTAGTGACTAGAGGTGCTAGTGACTAGAGGTGTTAGTGACTAGAGGTGTTAGTGACTAGAGGTGCTAGTGACTAGAGGTGCTAGTGACTAGAGGTGCTAGTGACTAGAGGAGCTAGTGACTAGAGGAGCTAGTGACTAGAGGTGTTAGTGACTAGAGGTGTTAGTGACTAGAGGTGTTAGTGACTAGAGGAGCTAGTGACTAGAGGTGCTAGTGACTAGAGGTGTTAGTGACTAGAGGAGCTAGTGACTAGAGGTGCTAGTGACTAGAGGTGCTAGTGACTAGAGGTGTTAGTGACTAGAGGTGCTAGTGACTAGAGGTGCTAGTGACTAGAGGTGTTAGTGACTAGAGGTGCTAGTGACTAGAGGTGCTAGTGACTAGAGGAGCTAGTGACTAGAGGTGCTAGTGACTAGAGGTGTTAGTGACTAGAGGTGCTAGTGACTAGAGGTGCTAGTGACTAGAGGTGCTAGTGACTAGAGGTGTTAGTGACTAGAGGTGCTAGTGACTAGAGGTGTTAGTGACTAGAGGTGTTAGTGACTAGAGGTGCTAGTGACTAGAGGTGCTAGTGACTAGAGGAGCTAGTGACTAGAGGTGCTAGTGACTAGAGGTGTTAGTGACTAGAGGTGCTAGTGACTAGAGGTGCTAGTGACTAGAGGTGCTAGTGACTAGAGGTGCTAGTGACTAGAGGTGCTAGTGACTAGAGGTGCTAGTGACTAGAGGTGTTAGTGACTAGAGGTGCTAGTGACTAGAGGAGCTAGTGACTAGAGGAGCTAGTGACTAGAGGTGCTAGTGACTAGAGGTGTTAGTGACTAGAGGAGCTAGTGACTAGAGGTGCTAGTGACTAGAGGTGCTAGTGACTAGAGGTGTTAGTGACTAGAGGTGCTAGTGACTAGAGGTGCTAGTGACTAGAGGTGTTAGTGACTAGAGGTGCTAGTGACTAGAGGTGCTAGTGACTAGAGGAGCTAGTGACTAGAGGTGCTAGTGACTAGAGGTGTTAGTGACTAGAGGTGCTAGTGACTAGAGGTGCTAGTGACTAGAGGTGCTAGTGACTAGAGGTGTTAGTGACTAGAGGTGCTAGTGACTAGAGGTGTTAGTGACTAGAGGTGCTAGTGACTAGAGGAGCTAGTGACCAGAGGTGTTAGTGACTAGAGGTGCTAGTGACTAGAGGTGTTAGTGACTAGAGGAGCTAGTGACTAGAGGTGTTAGTGACTAGAGGTGCTAGTGACTAGAGGTGCTAGTGACTAGAGGTGCTAGTGACTAGAGGTGTTAGTGACTAGAGGTGTTAGTGACTAGAGGTGTTAGTGACTAGAGGTGTTAGTGACTAGAGGTGCTAGTGACTAGAGGTGCTAGTGACTAGAGGTGCTAGTGACTAGAGGAGCTAGTGACTAGAGGTGCTAGTGACTAGAGGTGCTAGTGACTAGAGGTGCTAGTGACTAGAGGTGCTAGTGACTAGAGGTGTTAGTGACTAGAGGAGCTAGTGACTAGAGGTGTTAGTGACTAGAGGTGTTAGTGACTAGAGGTGCTAGTGACTAGAGGTGCTAGTGACTAGAGGTGCTAGTGACTAGAGGTGTTAGTGACTAGAGGTGTTAGTGACTAGAGGTGCTAGTGACTAGAGGTGCTAGTGACTAGAGGTGTTAGTGACTAGAGGAGCTAGTGACTAGAGGTGCTAGTGACTAGAGGTGTTAGTGACTAGAGGTGCTAGTGACTAGAGGTGCTAGTGACTAGAGGTGCTAGTGACTAGAGGTGCTAGTGACTAGAGGTGCTAGTGACTAGAGGAGCTAGTGACTAGAGGTGTTAGTGACTAGAGGTGTTAGTGACTAGAGGAGCTAGTGACTAGAGGTGCTAGTGACTAGAGGTGTTAGTGACTAGAGGTGCTAGTGACTAGAGGTGCTAGTGACTAGAGGTGTTAGTGACTAGAGGTGCTAGTGACTAGAGGTGCTAGTGACTAGAGGTGCTAGTGACTAGAGGTGTTAGTGACTAGAGGTGCTAGTGACTAGAGGTGCTAGTGACTAGAGGTGCTAGTGACTAGAGGTGTTAGTGACTAGAGGTGCTAGTGACTAGAGGTGCTAGTGACTAGAGGTGTTAGTGACTAGAGGTGCTAGTGACTAGAGGTGCTAGTGACTAGAGGAGCTAGTGACTAGAGGTGCTAGTGACTAGAGGTGTTAGTGACTAGAGGTGCTAGTGACTAGAGGTGCTAGTGACTAGAGGTGCTAGTGACTAGAGGTGTTAGTGACTAGAGGTGCTAGTGACTAGAGGTGCTAGTGACTAGAGGAGCTAGTGACCAGAGGTGTTAGTGACTAGAGGTGCTAGTGACTAGAGGTGTTAGTGACTAGAGGAGCTAGTGACTAGAGGTGTTAGTGACTAGAGGAGCTAGTGACTAGAGGTGCTAGTGACTAGAGGTGCTAGTGACTAGAGGTGTTAGTGACTAGAGGTGCTAGTGACTAGAGGTGTTAGTGACTAGAGGTGCTAGTGACTAGAGGTGTTAGTGACTAGAGGTGCTAGTGACTAGAGGTGCTAGTGACTAGAGGTGCTAGTGACTAGAGGTGTTAGTGACTAGAGGAGCTAGTGACTAGAGGTGTTAGTGACTAGAGGTGCTAGTGACTAGAGGAGCTAGTGACTAGAGGAGCTAGTGACTAGAGGAGCTAGTGACTAGAGGTGTTAGTGACTAGAGGTGCTAGTGACTAGAGGTGCTAGTGACTAGAGGTGTTAGTGACTAGAGGTGCTAGTGACTAGAGGTGTTAGTGACTAGAGGTGCTAGTGACTAGAGGAGCTAGTGACTAGAGGAGCTAGTGACTAGAGGAGCTAGTGACTAGAGGTGTTAGTGACTAGAGGAGCTAGTGACTAGAGGTGCTAGTGACTAGAGGTGCTAGTGACTAGAGGTGTTAGTGACTAGAGGTGCTAGTGACTAGAGGTGCTAGTGACTAGAGGTGTTAGTGACTAGAGGTGCTAGTGACTAGAGGTGCTAGTGACTAGAGGAGCTAGTGACTAGAGGTGTTAGTGACTAGAGGTGCTAGTGACTAGAGGAGCTAGTGACTAGAGGTGTTAGTGACTAGAGGTGCTAGTGACTAGAGGTGTTAGTGACTAGAGGAGCTAGTGACTAGAGGAGCTAGTGACTAGAGGTGCTAGTGACTAGAGGTGCTAGTGACTAGAGGTGTTAGTGACTAGAGGTGCTAGTGACTAGAGGTGCTAGTGACTAGAGGTGCTAGTGACTAGAGGAGCTAGTGACTAGAGGTGTTAGTGACTAGAGGTGCTAGTGACTAGAGGTGCTAGTGACTAGAGGAGCTAGTGACTAGAGGTGTTAGTGACTAGAGGTGCTAGTGACTAGAGGTGTTAGTGACTAGAGGAGCTAGTGACTAGAGGTGTTAGTGACTAGAGGTGCTAGTGACTAGAGGAGCTAGTGACTAGAGGTGTTAGTGACTAGAGGAGCTAGTGACTAGAGGAGCTAGTGACTAGAGGTGTTAGTGACTAGAGGTGCTAGTGACTAGAGGTGCTAGTGACTAGAGGAGCTAGTGACTAGAGGTGTTAGTGACTAGAGGAGCTAGTGACTAGAGGTGTTAG